CAGATTGGACGAAGCATTTCCCGCCTGCGCAGACGCCGACGACTTTTCCTGTTTGCTTCGTTATAGTACGATTGACGAAGTCCGTGCCACATTTTGTGGACGTGACCCCGTTCACAGGGGAGGCGGCCAGCCGTTACGCAGTATTACGTAGGAAATTCATCCAACCCCTGAACCCCTGAGTCGGGGACCCTGCGCTTGTCTAACAGCTTGGCTGTAAGGCAGAATGGGGGCGCAGAATAACCTCAAAGCGGACAGCCTCCACCCCCGAAACTACCAAGCCGCCGACGACGCGCAGAGTAGGCCCCTCGCATTGATTGTTTTTTAGCGAGGGCTTAATAAAACTAAACTATGGCTAAGCTTTTAGCAAGATTAACTGGAAACAAGAATTGCGTAGCGTACCTATACCGGAGCGGACGTATGTGCAGGGTTCGAGAGTGAAACCTCCGTGAGTGGACGGGCCTAGACGAGATGTAGACGCGGCCAACTTATGCAGTGGTAGGGGAGAGGATAGGATGGGGAGGGGGGGGGGGGGGGGATATGACGCGATCAGATAGGAGAGAGAGATTGGCAAGGGGATACTGCATCGATATGTATGCAGGTATGTGTTATTTATCTGTATGTACGCAGGCCGGATTCCCAAGATCTCAACAGGCCGACCTAGGAATGGAATCCTGCTATACGATTCTGCACAACGCAGGTATGATTTACGTGTGATCGGTACGCACGCCAAGAGAAACACTCTACACCACGTGTGGCATTCCAGAAGACCATTTTAGCGCTGAACCCGGTCTCGGGCTAAGAGAGAGCCTCCCAGGAGGAGGGGGGAGAGAGTGGGTGGCAGCAGGGGAGGAGATGCAGCAAGGGAGATAGGCTGCAGGGAAGACAAGCTGCAGGGCAGACATGCAGCAGGAATGCAGGAATTGGGGGTCAGCACGTGTGCACGGGGCGCGTAATTAGCGTCTTTGTCGCTGAAGACGCTCTGTGAAGAGGACCTGCGCTTCAACCCTGAACCAACTTCGCTGCCGATCTGGTTCTCTGCGAACGACGATGGCCGCTCGGCCTATCGCGACGCAGCCAGCTGCCCCCCTCCCCGGCCGCCAATCCGCTTAAAATTTCTTTCCGGGCGCACGGCTCACCGCAGCCGACGGTGGGGAATGGGCGTTCCGACGAGGGAAGGGATCGGATAGATATGATGTGGTACAGTATACTGCCTACCTCTTACTGCCTACCTCCTATCTAGGTATCTATCTACTAATGCTACATACTACGTAGTATGTGGGTGGTGGTGGTGGTGGTGGTGGTGGTGGTGGTGGCAGTAGTAGGTAGATGGATAGTTAGATAGGTAGGTAGGTAGGTAGGTAGTAGGTAGCGGTTAGGCAGCCACGTTTGTGGGTTTCTCTACAGAACGTCCATCCGTCCATCCATCCATCCATCCACTCATCCGTCCATCCATCCCTCCATACGCACAACTGCTGCCGAGAGCCTTCGATACTCTGACTCCCCCTCCCCCCCTTCTCCCCCTGCGCTGCGCCGACGAACACGAACATCAACAGAGGACATAAGCGCGGCGCAGTAGATCGCCATGCGCGCGCGAGGCTGCGGGCAGGCGATGGCTCGGAAGATAACGCGCTGATCCTCGTGCGGGGGGCCAACGAGGCCCGTCCGCCTATATTGCGGTTGGGGTCGGGAGTATGGTACGTATAGGCCGATCATCGGGGATCAATGCGCTGCCCAGACGGCCGAGCTGCACATCCGCCAAGAGAGGCTGCTGTGAATAACCTGGGTCCAGAACTTGGCAACCCCCTGCGCGTTCGCGACCCTTCCACGACAGCGAGTTTACGTTGGCCCGGAACGACACAGAACCAGGTCAGGTAAGCTGGTTACCTGTTACCGGCACCACCCCCCAGCGATGTACGTGATGTAGGAGGCACCTAAGGGTAAGCATGCGTTGCCGTCGCACGTAATACCTAGTGAGTGCTCAGCGCAGCGATCCGTCGTCGATCGCTCGTTTCCCGCCGATCAGCGCGCGGCGCATCAGCACTTAATTGTTCGACCTTACTGCTAATACGTCAGGGCAGGCTTTTGTATACGCGTGGCGCGCACAGCAATGTCCTCTCCCCAGATACCGTAGTATTCTCTCGGAGCGTTTCTCTCGGGAATATGTGATACCGCAAGGCCAATGATCAGCCCGCTTTTGTTCTCCAGAACCTGTAACCTCTCTCAAAACTCGTCTCTGGAAAGTCTCCCCTCTGCCGCCCCCCTATACCATGCTGTGTCGGCCAATAATGCTACCTCTGATACTACGTAGTAGACACCCCCTTCTCGAAATACACTTACTAATTCCCACCAGCTACTCCAAGGCCGCGAACGACTCAGGTCCAACATTTGCCCTGGGCGAGACAGGTCCTACCGGTATTTCGACCACAGAGCAATCCTCCCTCGGCAACTTCGGTTGGTGCTGAGCCCCCATGTGAAGGCAGAGCCGGCCCACTCCACCACCGACGGGTTTGACACCCTTCGGGGCGAATTGGACTGCGAACGCCGTGCCGTCGGGGTTGAGAGCAGACAGACTCGCCGACGCTCCAGGATATTCGCATTCTGCACCCACGGGACCTCGTTTGGCGTTAGCACCGAACCGTCCGTGCCGTGGATGAGGGCTGGCTGCTTCGAGATCCCGTCACCTGCCAAGTCTCCGCATCCAGGGAGCGATTGTCGAGCGAACAGTGCGCCGTCCGTCCCTGAGGGCAGGTATTGCCGTTTCCATAACCTAATGAATGAGACGGCTATGCGTGCTCACGGGTGCGCATCCTGCAAAACATGAATAATCCATCACCACTTCATTATTCAGCTCCGTAGGGCAGGCACCTCCCCTGCGACGCCGTGCATTTCGTATGCACGATGGGGACCGGATTAGAAATCTAGACGACGACAGCGTGTCGCATATCGTTGCGTGGGGACGGCAGAGAGAAGATGGAAGGCGGAAGGCGGAAGACAGAAGAAGAAGAAGACGAAGAAGAAGAAGAAGAACCAAAAAAGAAGATATGGTGGTGACTCGGCCTCATCACACACACCTCAACCCTAGCCGCCAAGTACGTGTTAGCTGCATTGATAGCACCCGGTTGCATGGCTGCCCCCGACACCGAAAGGCCCCAACCCACATAACTTAACGATACTTTATTACACCATGCGGGATAAGAAGCACGCTGGATGGGCTTCCATGCGTCGATGGCTATGGTAACGTGAAGATACCCGGATCCAGTGGGTAGCATTCAAGCCTCGCCCGTAAGGAGGGGCTGTCGCTGAAGAGGGGGGGAGGGGCGGGTGACAAGTTGCCAGGAATAGACTGGGCGGACGGCCTGGGCCGCAATTAGGTCAGAAACCATTTATGCACGCCGCCATCAGCATAGCGGCGATTCGTGAGCTACCTTACTATCTCGGAAGCTTAGTCGTCATTGGAGACATCACTATTCCGAGCGGCAAAGTTGTTACCAGCCGTCGAGAAGGCCTCTCTGGGCACAGCGCGACAGCATTAGTCATGATTATGAGGCGGTCCCCCATGCGCTGGAAGAGCATTTTCGACGTTACAATCGGCCTCACTTGTTGGAAGACCAGCCAAGATGTTGCAATGGGGAGAGACGTAGGAAGCCTCGGGCACCGGACTCTACCAGCGTCCGGCTCAGCCGACACGGGCTGCTCGCCGCGCTCAGGAATATTATATCACGAACCTATACCGCCGGAGTCTCCATAGAGAGGAGCCCGGCTGCAGCGAATAAGTGACTGCCGCCGTCGTAGCCCGTGCTCGACCGCGGCGGCCTAGATTCCTGCGCAAGGGATGCAATGATACCTGCAAATCCAACCTCGAAGCCGCGCAATCTACTCTAGACACGAAAAGTGTGACTCTAACCCGGGCTTGCCCTGCCTGAGTTGCTCCATGAGCTGCTCCACGAGCCGTGACACGCAAGCGCTCTCGGTCACGGGGTGCAACCACAACGCAACTAGCTTCAGCGTTTAGATGTCGAGTGAGAAGAGAGGGAGGGAAACCGCTCCGGTCTCCCGGACTCTTCGTATCTGCCGAAAGAACCACAGACTCGCCAAGTCTTCCGTCCGAGCCGTTATTGCAATCCAGGAGAACCGCAATACGAGGGCTCCACTAGCGCATTCTACACATCACGACGAGTTCTCGAAGACGTCCTCCGAGTCCGCAACGCTGAGAAAGCGTGCAGAGCCTATTGGCCCTTTCCGGACGCATGCGGCTGTCGTCTCACTAAGAGCAGTTGTAAAATACTGGTGACATGGTGCATATGCACGACTCCACCTTCGTTTACATTGCCCATCGTCCCTCGGCCCAATACGATGGGGCTGGCTCATGGGGTACCGCAACTAATTGGTCCGCGGCTGGCAGAGAGATAGCAGGATATTGCCCGTGGCGGGAAACAAAAAAAGCAACTCCCTGGTTACCATGTGCCCGGAAAAGGTGTCTCGGAGACTGAGAGTGCCCCTGCCGCCTCGCACGCCCTCGCGCCACGGAGAGAAGGAAAAAAGAAAAGAGCGATGATCATAGCCGGGAATGGCTAGGAAATAATAAGAAAGGTACCCAGAATTCGTTCGTCTCGAAGCGACGTCTAGAAAAGCCCAAGCCCCCATTACGTAGCTGTTCTGAAACAGACAAGGCATCCATCGGTTAATATATGGGGCAGCATTATGCTTAAGTCCGCTCAAGTACTACTCTACTGAGTTGCGGGTTGTCGGTCGCGTACCCTGATACTCGCTTGGTTGTTTATTCGCTGAGACCCTGGCAACTCTTCGCAAACGGGGTGGCCAGGGTGGAACCATGCAAGGCGAGGCAACTCGCAGTTCACGCTTAGTCACAGTTTATCAATGGTCACGCATTTCTCGAGTTATCTTCTCTCAACAACGAATGTGGGTTACTGAATTGTTCCGAATCAACTATCGCTCTTCAGAGCGCAGCACACAATCGTCTAAGTACATCTTGCTGGGTTGGGGGAGGGTGCGGGGAGGGGGGTGGCCGTGCAACAGGCGGCACAAGAGCTTGGCTTGGCGATGGAGAGAAAAAAAAGAAATCCGCCCTTGGGAAACCGTTGCAGGGGCTCGTCATTCGATCACGGCAAGCCAGCTTACAGAGTCGGGCTCGTCCCCTGCGACGGTTCCGTAGCCTTCAGAGTGAGCAGCACGGTGCCTTCGGTCTCCTCGCCGGTCGAGTTCCAGCCCAGGGACCAGACGTCTTCGTGCTCGGAGGGAATGGCATACCACATCGAGTTGAGCGACGTGTCGGTTTTGTGAAGGAGGAAATATCCGTAGAAGACAAAGCCGGATGCCGATACGTTGTCCCCGGGCGTCGAGTTGGTGAACTCGACCTGGTGAAGGGTAGCCTCCGGCTTGGGGATGACGAGGGTGAGGTTGGACCAAGTCGGAGTCTTTTCCGGAGCGGTAGCGTTAGGACTGCCGACCAGGGACTCGCCGGTGCCGCTGCTGACTACGCGCTAGTTATTAGACAGTAGTACATACGGGAAGGGGTCGCGACATCGCTTACATTCGACGGGCGCCGCCTCGGCGTCGTCCACCTTGGACGAGTTGCCCAGGAAGGCTTGGCCTGTTGAGCATGCTAGTTAGCATCCCGCCCTAGCCCTCGGTCGAGGGCGGAGAGACTAAGACAAGACAGCCTACCTCCAGACGTGAAGATGGGGACGCCGCCGATGCCCTCGCCGTAGGCGAACAGCACAAAGTTGCCCGGCAGCGCGCGCGCGGCCAGCGCGGTGGACACGGGAGTCCCAGCGATGAGGGCCGGGAAGGCAAGGAAGAAGAGGCTCTGTAGCGCGAACATGGTTGGTAGAATAACAAGATATTGGTAAGTCGGGATTCCTCGAGAGCAGAGTAGAAGAGCAGAATCTTTGGGCAAAGAGAAAAAGAAAAGTTGGTTGACCTTATCGCAATGCTTTCGGGGAGAGTGGCTGGCCGAGCTATATTACTGAGAAGGAAGTCTCTGACCAGAAGAACGCCGCGCGCTTCTTACACACCCTAGAGCGTTGTTTGTGCTACCCCGGGCAGTGTACTCGTCAGCTCCCCCCCCCCTGACTCCATCCCATCTGTTGCTGGACATGGGTTCGTGGTGCTGCGGCGCTGTCGATGTATTCGGAGGGTGGGCCGTGGGGATGCGGGACGGGTACGCGGACTTGGCGGGAACGTCCCTTGCAGAAACGCGTAATGCTGGGCCCGCTCCAGGCGCAACTCTTGAGCTTTGCGAAGACTATCGGCAGATGCGAGATGCTGTCCAGGGAGGGCAAATCGATAGTGCGGACCGGCGACTGTGGAAAATTGATTATCTATCCAGATAATCAGCTGGCCCACAGACTTTTCGTGATCCTGGGCCCCGGGCTGCCCTGTGTACCACCGGGCTTAGCGGCCTAGCCGGTCATTATGCAGACAGGGCGTGCAGATGGGCGTGACGATGCGCCTCCAACCGACGACTCCTCACCCCCTTAGATGTCTCCATGTCCTACATCGTGATGGAGTCTCCCTCGGCGCTTTTACCGCATTGCAAGACTGCCCGGGCTCTGGCCATCTCTGCGTAGACTCGTCTAGCCAAGGGGCCTCCGTCACATTGCGGCGCGGAAGTTGACGAATAATCGAGTTTCATCGGGTTCTAGTCATCAGGCCCCACCCCCCGTCTCGCCCTTCGCCCTTATGCTTGGGTACGCGTACCGTCATGATACGAGATGCCTCTTCGGCTCTACCTGAAGGATCCCGAGTTCGGCAAGTCCAGGGTCGACGAGTTCAACTTAGACGAAGCCGCGATCATGTGGGCCGACTCTAGGACTAGGAAGGTGTTCTATGCAATGCCACCCCGGGACGCGTCCCACGTCTCCTATTCCCACAATGCCCTTATCTCGTAAGTCGACGAGGGGAAGTCTATAGGGGTGGGACCGTGACCGTGAAGACCTCCCGGTTGCGCAGGTGCTGTCTAGAATCAGTAATATAAGAAGCATCCTTTCCTTACCCTCCTCTCTCATCTTAGCACTATACCATAACCCAGAGTTCTTCCCTTCTCTATCTGATCTTATACTTTTACACATCCCGTCCTTTCCAAGCTCTTTTGCAACATGTTTATCTCTAAGCTCTCGGCCCTGCCGCTTCTATACGGCATCGTGGCCGCTTCTCCCTTTTCTCCTTCGGCCAATCTAGTCCCGCGGGCAGCGTGTGCCGGCAACACGGCCACTACCAGAAGCCAATGGTGTGACTTATCCATTGATACCGACTTTCAGAATGTGGTCCCAGACACCGGGGTGACCCGGGAGTATGTAAGTGTTGGAGCTTCTGGCTGCCGCTTGGACTCAGGAGTATTCGACTCGGGTTATAGCTACTTAGCCATCTTTTAAGCTTGCTAGTTACTGACTGTCTAACAGTGGCTCGAATTGACCGATGTGGTCGTTTCTCCGGATGGTGTCTCCCGCTCAGCCATGGCCGTCAATGTAAGTTCAACAGTCGAGCTGGAGAGTTTCAACTTTTCCCGGCTATTATCTCGTGCCCTCTTAGCGACCAGCTTGCTAAATCACAAGTGTAGGGTTCTATTCCTGGACCAACTCTCTTTGCGGATTGGGGTGATAACGTTATTGTCCATGTCACGAACCAGTTGACAACTTCCAATAACGGCACTTGTAAGCCCACCCCACCAGCGTATCAAGCCTGTGTTGTCTTTCCTGCCGGGTTAAAGAGTCAAGCGCTGACTAGTAGCAGCAATTCACTGGCACGGAATCCGCCAGAACTATACGAATGAGGCTGATGGAGTTGCTTCCATCACCCAGTGCCCAACTGCGCCCGGAGAGACTATAACATACACCTGGAGAGCAACCCAATATGGATCAACCTGGTACCACTCTCACTTCTCGCTCCAAGCATGGCAGGGCATTGCCGGGGGTCTCATCATCAATGGCCCAGCCACGGCGAACTACGATGAAGATGCTGGAATGGTAATCCTCTCCGACTGGAGCCACCGAACTGTGGACGAGCTGTGGACTGAAGCACAGACAAGCGGCCCGCCGGAGCTGCAGAATGGGCTCATTAACGGAACCAACGTCTACAATAGTAGTGGCTCGAGGTTCCAAATGGACTTCGTGTCCGGGACTTCTTACCGGATCAGACTCGTAAACGCTGCCATCGACACTCACTTCAAGTTCTCCATCGACAACCACACTCTCCAAGTCATCGCAGCTGATCTCGTCCCGGTTGTGCCGTATGAGACAACTTCGATCGACATCGGCATGGGTAAGCCAAGAGTGACCCTGCTCAGACATCTCAATACTGACCTCCGTAGGGCAACGTTACGATGTCATCGTCCAGGCCAATCAGTAGGTCCCCCCTCCAAAGCCCTAAGCATTTTCGGTTTCGATATCGCTTCGCGCCTATGTTCATTTTCGCTCGAGCTGCCGCTAACAGGCAATATTACAGATCTGCCGTAGCAGACAGTTTCTGGATGCGAGCTATTCCCCAGTCAGCGTGTTCTGAGAACGAAAGTGCGGATAACATCCGCGGTATCATCCGATATACCTCCGATGCAGCTGAGCCGACCACTACTGGCTACGCCTACACTGATTCGTGCGACGACGAGACTGACAACCTGGTCCCGTACATCTCGAAGACGGTCGGCACTGCCACCCAGACTGTTACTGAGAACGCCGCCGTCACCACTATCAACAGCACCCTCTTCCGATGGACCTTGAACAGCACGACTATGCTTGTGGACTGGGGTAACCCCAGCCTTCTGTCCGTCATCAACGGCGTGACCGAGTTCGAGGATGATGATGCTGTGATCGACCTGCCCCAGGTAGACGAATGGTTCTACCTCGCCATCGATACCGACTTGCCTGTTCCCCATCCGTGAGTAGCCCGAAGCGGACCGCCGTAGTCCCATGTGTCGAGCTCACGTTTGCTAATTTGCCTTTGCAGGATCCATCTCCACGGCCACGATTTCTACATTCTTGCCCAGGGCACAGGTTCTTATTCCAGCGATACCGTGCTCAACACTAGCAACCCCCCTCGCCGAGACGTCGCTATGTTGCCCGCGAGCGGACACCTCGTAATGGCTTGGCAGACGGACAACCCGGGAGTCTGGCTCCTCCACGTAAGTAAACCCGCCACAGTAGCAATGGGCCGAACGCTGACATCGACGCGATAGTGCCACATCGGCTGGCATACGAGCGAAGGATTCGGTCTGCAGTTTGTGGAGAGATATGATGAGATCTCGAACTTGACGAATGCCGCGACCCTGGGCGACAGCTGCTCGACATGGTCGGCATTCCAGAGCGCTAACAGCATCCACCAGGAAGACTCGGGAATATAAACGGGGTGCTCTAACATAGAGGCATGTATATTTAGTTGTTGCGAAGGCTGGTCAAGGAGAGAGGCTTTGAAAGTGTTAGTCAGGAACTAGGGAACTCTCCAGTCGTTACAAATATTACAGTCATGGAATGTTCGCTCTTTAGACTGGCTTTGTTCTAACGTATCTCATCTCGGATTTCGTTCCGAAATACCTCTGAGTTCTTAGAATGTAAGAAGCGGTTGCATGAGATCATAGTAATAAGACTAACACATTTACACTCGCCGTTTCCGAGTTAGGTAACCGATTTTACAACTACGCTTTGAGGATTTAATAAGTATCTACATCACAGCGCCTTAGTTCTTCGTCGCCTATACACAGTGTACATGTATTCTACCCACTTGGCATAACGTAAAAGCCGAAACCTCCTAAGGAACGGTGATGTCAAGGAATAAAGCCGATGGCATGTACGAACGGTATGAGGTACTGTCAGATGGGTCAAAGTGGATGACTAGCTGCCTGAGTTTATGGTAACAAATAGCTTTGACTCTAGGTTAAAAATCTTCTGGCCAAGGCACAGGTCAACGTTACCCTACCAGCAGCTGTGGTATCCAACCAGTCATACCAACCACAGGGCAACTACTCTATAGCAACGACAGGGCAACAACCAACTTACGACAAACATAGAAGGCTAGTTACCCAACCTCCCTTAACAAATTCCAACGTGGCACTGTGGTCTAGCCGGTAGATCCCGCTGCTGCAAACTACAAGGTTCGGGGTTCAAACCCTTCCTGTGCGCTACTCTCTCCGAGAGCTGGAAGTCCTAGGGGACCCTCAAAATGAGGTGTTGGGTGTGCGACCCTGCGTGGTTCGGCACGCTTTCCCAGCAGGCTTGAGGGTCATAGGCCATATAATCTGAGGGTTCTGGGGGCATCTTTTTTTTTCGTCCTACCCTACTAGTCATTCCGAACAAAACACGTCTCTAATCAAGAGGCTAAACTCTGTGATGCTTAATTACATTAGGTATGGATAGCGCTACTAGATAGTAATACACGCCCACTGACTGGCTACCTTGTGTTAGGCTCGCGATGCAACGTAACGCTGTAAGATGAAAAGGTTCACATTATCCATTCTATCTCACGGGGGGTCGATTCGACCGATTCGGGAATGGTATAGTTGACCAGATGTTATTATGAATTGATGTGCTTAGAGTTGCCTTATAGCACTCCCGTATACCAAGTATAACCCATCACCACTCACCACCCTTCTATTTCTTCCCACGGGCGAGTGCTTTCCCTCTAATATAGATCTATAAGACGTTTCCACTACCTTACCTTGGTGATTCACCAAGATTCGCCATCGCCGCCTAGGAGAATCATGGCAAAAACGTGGCTCGGCTTCTCGGACACCACGATGCCCATATCTATGGCGTCCCTGAGGCTGCGCACCGAGCGCTCCATCTCCTCCGGAGTTTCGATCCGAATGCACTTGCACCTCTCCGTGTGTCGGGTAGAGACGGGCGTAAGCCCGGCACCAAGCTTCACGGCGCACCCCGTATCTGGCCGGCAGACGAGAGGACCCTTGCTGCGAGAGCTGCTGCTGTCGGCCATCGGGAGGACTGTGACGGGCGTGGTGGGTGCTGGAGACGGGGTATTGGGCAAAGGTCGGTGTTATATGGCTAGTAGACGGTTTCCTGCACCTCGGTCTAAGAGTAGAGATGCTGGTGGAGTTTTCGTTGCGAATAGTCTCGAGGGCAAATCGTGCGGAGGGAGTTAAGCTTATATCTGCACTCAGAACCCACGAGTCTGGCTAGCATTATTACCGGTGAACAATTGGCATTGTTCTACGCTAGACCGTGCGTCGTCTTTTTTCTTCGGTATGATGCTTACTTCGAACTTCTTTGAGGAAAATTTTAGTGTTGTTCCTTGTCCCAGCTGGAGTGCAAGGAAACGAAGAAAGGCAGATGCAGAAGACTACATACACTGTGTAGGGGTACCTAGGTGTGGGTGCTGGTACTTGCTCAGCGCCGCCTAAGCCTAGGTATGTCTTTTACCTCTTTCTTTTCGGGAAGTGATAGAGTGGTAAGGTATTCGCTTCGATTTGTGTATGTTGGTACCAAACTAGCAGTTAATGCCTACCTCTCTGTCTTCTCTTTCTCCTTCGTATGCCTAGCCATTACCAGTTAGGAGGCTATAGATGAAAATGGGGATTGACTACAGTTGGGATCGTGGAGATGATTGATCTGCTGTATAAGGAGACGGCACGATAAATAGTCCCTATCCCTGGTACAGGACACCGACTGGTACCTACAATATCATATTACAATCCCGTCCGCCCCCGCATCCCCGCATCCCCGCCCCCGCGTTGATCCCCACCTCCATGCTCATACTAAGTACGTGGTAAAAGTAATGCTACATACCTAGTATGTAGATAAATCTCCGTCTGGATGGATTGGCGACTAGTGTTGTGGGATGCGAGGGAGGGGCGGGTATTATTAATAGATACCTTTGGCCGTTGTTCTGTGCGTTCTTGCCGGGTCTGCCGACGGCTGGTAACAGCTGTTCTCATACCTATTTATCTGGCATTTATTTGACATACCTACCTGTTGAATTTTGGCGCTCTTGTAGATCCTTGTGGGCCAAAACTGTTATCAATGAGACTAGCTATATGCCTGGCGTATCACCTACCTGTAGATCTGGCCGTGTCCTCGGAGAAATTGGAAGCTTGATCGTGCCAGGTAGCATTAGGGCCATTCTTCCGAGTGTTCGGTGAAGCAATCGCCGAGCCCATCTTCCGGCCCGGTATACAACTATCAGCAGGTGCAACAAGAAGTAGGTGCCTGAACGTCTTGCCCCGAATATAGTAGAACTCTCACATCCACCCAACGTCTTATTAATGGTTAGGATCTTAGGCACCCACTTGCCTATATTTAACAGCTACGGGCACGACTGCTCACAGCAACTCGGCGGCCGGGGATATGTCGCCGGGTGAAGTAGTCGACCTTCAACGACTCCCAGCTGGGGAAGCATGCGCCATGAAGTAATTTCATGGTTCCCAATAAACACATCCCGCCGAATATATAGCATCCAAGTAAGATCCCCTGAGTCACCAGGCTCCTCCTCTCGCCAGAATCTTCCGCCGAGCTTTGTCCGCCCATTACTAATAGCATCCATAGACCCCGGGGTTACACCCAGTGCTCCACACCATGCCCATTTCCGGCTCGACTGGGCGCATATTACAAAACGCCATCGCCCGAGCCTTCCACCCTTCATGGCAGGCTCGCCTTGAATGTGCCGGAATCTAAGCATGGGAGTATAAGAGCAGGCGCCAACTATTACATGATGATCTCTCTTTCGCTGGGTCTGGTCGTGCTGGCGACCGGTTTGACCGTACAAGCCTACAAGAATCCGTCGACCTCCCATCATCGACGTCTGCTCCAGCGTGTCGTTCCAGAGCAGGCTCAGGTCATTAACTGGAAATCTTTCAATGTGCTTACGACCGTCCCCCCTCCCACGGAGGCCAATGCTACGACGGCAAGTCTCATCTTTCACAGTGCCAATGGTATTCAGTGCTCCAGCTTCTGGCTCGTCAGGTCTAACGCATAATCAGCTCTTTATTCCGCCTGGCCACGATCTTGCTTCGCTCACGGAGAAGCCTTTCCACATCTACGATGACGAATTCTACAATGTGATCGGGGATAACCCTACGCTGACGCTGATCGCCAACACGGGAACAAACCCGATGTTCCACGAAGCGGCCGTCTGGTATGTCTGCGACGAATCGGCAGGTCCTCGAACCTGCTAGGTCTGACACGTCTCACTTTAGGTATCCACCTACCGATGAGATGTTCTTTGTTCAGAATGCGGGAGCAGCAGCGGCCGGTACAGGCCTTAACAAGTCCAATATCATTCTCAAGATCGCGCTCCACGAAGCCGCGGCGGTGTCAAACCTCCGTAACGCGACGGGGTCTGTCAATGTCCAGACAGTCAACGCTCCGAGTATCATCAATTCGAACGGTATGTCCACCGGCAGTCCAATTGCTAAGCCAGATTACTCACTTCTCTCAAGGCGCAACAAACTACCGAGACCAGATCGTGTTCGCGACAGCGGGCCAGGGCGACGAATCAACGCCCCAGCTGGTTCTCATGCACCCCAGGGAGCCGTACAACACGACTAGTAGGCACTTGACTTTTCCATTGGCGATGAAATTCAGGTACTGATTATCACCTGCATCCAGTCTTGCTCAACAACTACTTCGGCCGCCAATTCAACTCCCTTGACGACGTCGCAGTTAACCCGCGCAACAAGGAGCTATACTTCACCGATACCCTCTACGGGTACCTGCAACATTACCGCCCAACCCCCGGGCTGCGAAACCAAGTCTACCGGTACAATGACAAGACAGGCGCGGTCGCTGCCGTCGCAGACGGATTCACTCTCCCGAACGGTATGTCATCCCGTCTGAGCCTTTCTTGCGTAGGACATCTCCATTAACACGAAACCGCCGGCCGAAAACACTAAGGGGTAACGTTTTCACCCGACGGCTCGTACGCGTACGTGACCGACACGGGGGCAAACCACGCCGACTGGGGTTGGAACTTCTCGGACCCGGCAAGCATGTAAGTTGCCCACCAGAGAGGAAGGGAGAGGAGTAAAGGGCAAGTAAATTTGCTGAGCAAATATATAGCTATCGGTTTGATGTCAAGGAGGACGGCACATGGGATAACCGCAAGCTCTTCGCATATACCGATTCCGGAGTGACAGACGGTACGTACCTCGACGAAATGACCCCCTCTTCTATTTCGCATTTACCCCTCCCTTCCCCACCCCCACCTATCCCACCCACCTACCTCTGCGCCCCCACCCTCGCTAACCGCCGACGGCATTCCGGACAAGGCGTGCACTGCGACAGCGACGGCAACGTCTACGCCGGCTGCGGAGACGGCGTGCAGGTCTGGAACCCGTCGGGCAAGCTCGTCGGCAAGATCTTCCTCGGCAAGACGTCGGCCAACTTCAACTTCGCCGGCGACGGCCGGCTCGTCATCCTGGCCGAAGAGGACCTCTACTACGCCACCCTCGGAGCCGCGGGCGGCGGTTACATCGAGGCCTGACGGTATAATAAAAGTCTCTTAAAGGTTGATGCTGCGTGCGCGTGTCGCGTACTGATACCTGCCTTAGGCATGCCTGTATGCGCGTTGGTGGCTGTGCACTGGTGTGCGGAGGAGGCAACCCAGAAAATATTGAGGAGATAGGACTGGATACACCTAGGTAATAATAAGGTCGCCTAAAAACAATAAATCTATTTTTACAACTCGCGTGCCCGCGCGTCCTAATCCCGTCCGTCTCCCGGCCCGCTCGGTGCGCACGGGCCGGAGCGGCGGCTCACGCCGACTTCAGCGAGTCGACGTATTGCTTGACGAGGGCGTCGGCGCTCTCGTCCTGGAGGAGGCCGAGGCGCCGGGCGGTGGCGGTGTCGACCTCGGGGGCCCAGCTGCGGAGGATGCGCTCGAGGGCGGGGTCTGGCTCCTCGCGGAGGTAGCGCAGGCGGTCTGCGCCGCCGTGGCGGGCGAGCGCGTCCACGAGCTGCTGGACAGAGACCGAGATGCCGGGCATGTTGACGTGGCGGACGTGGGGCGGGAGGCAGCCGGGGTCGAGCGCGAGCACGCGCACGAGGTTCTCCTGCAGGACGGCGGGCGAGCACACGAAGGCGCGGAAGCCGCGGTCGCGCAGCGGGATCGCGCACTCGGCGCCGCGCATCGGCTCGCGGATCATGCCGGAGAGGAAGGAGGAGGCGGCGGCGGTGGGCCGGCCGGGCCGCACGGCGACGGTGGGGAGGCGCAGGCTGAAGACGTCGAAGAAGCCGCGGCGGTGCATGTCGTTGAGGAGGACCTCGGTGAGCAGCTTGTGCGCGCCGTAGGTGCCCTCGGGGGTCGGGGCGACGGCGTCGGCGACGCGGCCGCCGGCGGGCAGCGGCCGGCCGTAGACGGCCTGGGCGCTCGCGTAGACGACGCGCACGCCGCCGCCGCCGGGGTAGGCCGCGCGCACGGCCAGCAGGAGCCCGCGCACGCTGTCGACGTTGACGCGCAGCGACAGGTCCCAGTCGGCCTCGGACCCGGCCGACATGACGCCGTGGAAGAGGAACAGCGCGAAGAGCGGCCGCGCCGCGCCCAGCAGCCGCGCGACGAACGCCGCGTCGCAGATGTCGCCGCGCAGCGCCACCGCGTTCTCCGGGTGCGCCACCCCCGCCGGCACCGCCGGCTCCGCCACGTCCGTCAGCACCACCCGGTACGACGGGTCGTCGAGCAGCCGCGAGGCGAGCAGCGGCCCGATGAAGCCGCCCGCGCCCGTGATGATGATGTTCTTGGTCGGCGTCGAGGACATGGTCGTCTGCGGTGTGGATGACAGGGATTCGGTAGGGCTCGGCGTGAGCTGTTCCTACACTAGGTAGGTATGTGTAGAATATGAAATCGACGTAGGCAAGGTATGCCGGTCGAGGTAGGTTTACAGGTCGGTACAATAGAACTCGAGAGCACGGTAAGAGCCAAATTTCAGGTAGGTAGGCATAATTATCAATCCAAGATCGGCCTTCTTTGTCGTTCTCTTTCTCTTCCCTCTTCCCTCTTCCCCCCTTCACGATGCAGGCCCGTTGCTTTAAGTTAGGATCGCCCACGCGCCGCCACCCCTCCCCCCCCTTTCGGCACAATATGGCAGCGTGGGGATCGGGGGAATATGTGCCTAAGTTGGCCCCTGGAGGGGGTGCCATTCTGCGGGGTCTCCCACGTATTCGGTAACCCGAAGAACAGGGAGGGAGAGTAGGAGAGGGGAGGATCCGAACTGCGCGATAACGGAGTCGCCTTGTGGGACCGTCCCGAAGCTATGAATAATTCGTAGCCCCTGCGCAGATGCGTCGTGTTATTTTTACCCGAGTCCATCTGGCGCGCGACAAGTCCGGACGAGAAGCCCCGCACGTGGTCTTGCTTGAAGAAGCGTTTGATACTATTATATGATCGGTGTCGACCGCAAATCACTCTTATTTACCTAGCACGTTTACAAGTATGTTCAACTTATTCTTTCACAGTTCCCACAGCGATGGGGTTCACTGCCAAGCAAAATCAGAACCGCAAGTTGCGTCGGATATTGGATCTATTTAAGCTAATAACCAGTGCTAATACTCGTCTCGACGACACTGGCCGAATTGCGAATCTGCTACTCTGTATCCCTACGAAGACCGACTCGCACTTGTGCGCTCAGTGACGCGCTCAGAGATTGTTGTCCTACTGCTCTAGCTCATCTTCCACCGTCGGCGCATGGTAGTTCTGGAAGGACTCTAGTCCCACTAGAGAGTCGCTCTCGAGCAGCTCTTCCTCTGCGTAGTCATGTCGAGCAGCTTCCAGCTCCGGTTCTCCAGTGTCATCTTCGTCGTCGTCGTCGCCGTCGTCGCCGCCGTCATAGAAATATCCGCCCAGCCGTTCCACCTCGTCTTCCTCGACCGGGCCTGGCGTCGGGTCCGGGATTTTCCGCTGGTACGGGTCGTCCATGAAGGCCGCGCGGGCGGCTTTCTCATGACTGCTGGGGCGGCAGGGCACCCAGAAGACCTGCACCCCAGCGGCAGCCAGCTCCATGACACAGATTACGAAACGGGCGACGTGGAATCGCCGTATAGGCGTGGTGGGGTACTTCCGGGTGACGAATCCCATCCTCGTCTGCACGAAGGCTCTGCGGGCCCTGCTGTACTTGAGCTTGTGCGCCTTCAGCAGGAACTTTAGGAGGGCCGGGTCGATATGGGCGGCGACGAGGAGCCGGAACGCGGCCGCTCGGTGAGCGAAGTGAGCGCTGTTGGTGAACACCACCTCTCTCACCTGCTGGGCTCGGTCAGGCATGACGCACTTCTTCACCAACAACATTAGTTCCCACAGCGACGCGATCTGGGAGTTGTCAAGGTTCCAGTCCGCGGTGCCGTCGTCCGAGGGGGTTACGACTTCGTAGCGGAACCTCAGCTCGCATGGTTCGGGGCCGAACAAGAAGACCGCCTCGCAGGAGATGTCCCCGAGCTTTCGCTTGTAACTCGCTACGTCGACTATGATTGTCATGTATCGGTGCCCGTCCGCGCAGATGTGGGAAGGATGCGTTGTGGTTAAGAGTTCGTCCGAGGCCATCCATGAGAAACCACACTTGGAGCAGTAACCTGCCGTCATCGGCCGGCGGCTCTTGCTTCCGGCCACGCCGCGATTGGTTTTCCGTCCGCCTGAATGCGCGTCGAGCTCATCATCTGGGACGAACTTTTCGAACAGTGGTTCGACGCCACGGTCGGATTCGGAACAGGGGATCCAAGAGACGTAATCGGGATGGTAAGGTGTCTCTTGCCCGCCTAAATCGATATGATGCAGACATACCAAACAACTCCACAGCCCGTGCCTTTCGCAGACGAGGGAGCGGTTCTTTGTGCATATTTTTCTGTCACTATTCTCACTGGAAGCCATCGTGAGGAGTTGTTCAAAAAGAACAGTGATTTCGCCGAAGACGTCGGATATCCCGTAGCAGGCGCGCAGACCCAACGATGTTCCACTGGATATTAATTATGTCTTAAGGGCCTCTTCTTCTTCTTCTTTTTGCCGGTCTTTCTCAAAGAAACGTGCTGTGATATTATCTTCATCCTGAGCCATGCATCAACGAAGATATATATGTATAACACGCGCACAATACCCAACAGACAGAGAACCGGCAAACACCAGGGAATTGTCTAATCGTCCTCATGATTTTGGACCCGGACATTCGTTCGTGATCTGGTATATTCCCCAGAAACAGCCCCTTTGTCCTGACACAGCAGTGACCAGGTAGTAACTTAGGTACGTGGTGGTAGTAAACTCTCCTCGCCGAATATCCTCCCACGGCCTGGAATATTAGGTACTAGGTACCCCGTGGTTGGGGGAATCCTCTCTAGGATGAGGTTCTAGTTGTTGGCCTCATTCGGAAGATTTCCGGTCCTGCAGATAGGGTAGCTTGTAGGTCAGGCAGGCAGGTAATTATTTACGTCTTTGGCATCCACGTACGCACCTTTTCCTAGTGATGAGAAAGGTGGGCTATGCATATCTCCAGAACCGATGCAGGCTGGTCTTATTTCGACGAGATTCTCGTCGCAGGGCAGGCCGCGAATCAGGAAGTGGTTGGCCCGTTTACGAAATGTCTAGCAGATGTACTCTAGGAAAGCACCAGCGGGAAGACCGCCGACTGATAATTATGTGGCCTTGTTCCTTTACAAGACAGCAACGGTACTGTTATTTCATATTGTCGGTGCGAGGAACCTGGGTGGAAGCAACAGGCATGGTTTCGCGGGCGATTTGGTTCAACGACATTCGCAGTGAGATATACCTAGCAAGTTCAAACAGCTAGAGGAGGTCATGGATTCGGCAGCGTATTTGCTGCTCATCGCGCCTCGGTCGGCTTGCCGCTCCTCTGTCCGGCGTCGCCAGGACCGACAAGGGAGGGATGCACTCCAGACTTACCTGCCCCTAGGTACCCATATATAATAGGTAACTATAATTGCGATAGCACCCGTACCGTATCGCATTATCAAACAGCACGCTGTGCATAGAGACCGTGCTGCCGGGTCCGAATATGCAAGAAGGGTGCAGAGTGATTGGTAAAAATTCCCAATGGATCGATCCATCGTCCCGGGGTGCAGAGATACGTAGGTAAATAAATAGTTTATTATTATTATAGGCTGTGTTTAGCAGCGCCGACCGAAGCCAACAACAATCTTTATTATCATCTCACATTCATTGTTTACGACACACCGCCCTCCGAGGCGCGAGCTCCATGTTGCTGTGATCGTCCAGCCATAGATCGCCGTCCTGTCGTCAGCTCGACGCTACGATCATCAGGCCTATCCACCCGCAATCGGCGTTGACAGCGATCCGCGCGCGACGTAGGCACCCTAGGCTTCTGATAATACAAGGATGCAGGCGCTTGTCTTGTCGTATGCTTACACGGGTACATACGTGTATTTGTCTGATCACCCTCCCACAGAATATATTAAATCTGTCGTTGTACCCGTTGAAGCACGCTTGCCTATCGCCGTTCACGTCCAACCCACCGCTGAGCGAAGATACGCGCTGGGAGTCAACGTGCTGAGTAAATCCTATGATTATCGTTTATCCAACTTTCTCGGCCTAGCAAAGGTAGGCACCCGTAGAATCGCGACGAAAAACGGGTAGATGCGTGGGCTAATACCGTCCTTAACTGCAAGGCGTCGCATGATCGCGAGGGGGAGAGAGGAAAAAAAACCCCCCCAAAAGGGCCCCTGGTACATGCCCACACATTAGTATTTTTCTACTAACAAGCAGCCCACACTCTAAGATCAAACACTCCCCCTTCTCGCCAGTTCGTCCCTCTCGCACCTTGCACTCGCTCGCCGACGCGAGGAGCGGCATGGCCAGGTGGGTGGCTCGATACACACCGGGGTCTTGAGAGAATTGGTTGATGGGATGACATAACTCGCAGATAGCAGATAACCGCAGCGCCGTCGCGTGCGGGGCGGGAGGCACCCTTGCGCCCCGGTACCCGCTAAGCCCGGAACGGACTCGTGCACAGGGCGAACCGCGAACCAGAGCCAGCCCCGACGTAATCAGCCGCTTATCTGCCCACGGCTTATCTCGATCGCTAGTGACGCCGAACAGCAGATGTACCTACCTTCCAGCGTGTAGCGACCTACCCTCGTACCTCGGATACCTAAGGAGAGAGTGTGTGTACGTAGGTATGTAGGTACCTCAGGCGCAATGGATATATACCACGTACCGTAGCTAGGTACCTACCTACACTTCCTGTAAATATGGATGTATTAGGTACCTGGTATATGGGTCAATACCTTTGGTGCCCGAGGCGTGTTCATAGGAGGTACGTGTTATGTATACTTAGGTATCTAGGTAGGTACATAGTGGCGAGGGCAAAACCAGGGTAGAGGGCGGGACTACCCACCTACCTCTACTTATCTCCTAGGTAAGCCAAGTGTACTTACCTGATAGACGCCTGATGGCTCATCGCAATACCTAGGTACCTAGGTACGTGCTGCCTTGCCTGTGTACGCCCAAACGGTAGGTACTTGGGGCGAGGTGTTGAGGTACTCGGACCACTCTCGCACCTCGGCGCCTCCACGGAAGTGTCATCGATGCAGCAACTCGTCGGTTGATCTTTGACTATCCGCTATCAGGCGGGTGGGTGCGTAACAGGTGCTGATGTTTCTGAGCAGGCATTTATCGCCGACTACCTACCTATCTAATCTCTCCTCGCTCCAGGAATGCTGAGGCCTGGGCCCCCCTGCTTCTTTTCTCTCCGTTTCTCCTCTTCTTATCTCTACCTCTCGCCCGCTCCCTGGCGACGAGACTACCTAATTATATAAAAGTATCGCTAACGGTATTATCCTCTACGCTGTCATACGGGTTGCAATTTACCTATATATGCCTGTTTCTGTTTCCTGCCCCGTCCGGGGACGCTGTGCTATGATGACCTCCAGTTCCCGCGCGCACATATCCCGGGTCGCCAGTCATCCCTGGGGACGAATATCTTAATTGCTGGATCCATTCCCCCCAGGCCCCCTCCCCGCCCCTTGGTCCCAGTTCCAGACGTGCTCGCTTTGCTGACTCCGTCGCCGGGATGGGGACTTACGATCCGGAGCCCTCGAGGCTCAGCCGATGGGCAGAAAAGGTTGCTGTGGATAACGAGGATGGCCTTACCACCGCCCAGCTGATGGTAAAGCTTACTTCACGCCCGGGCCGCCTCCCGCCCCGGCCAACGGCTGACATGCCCAAGCTAATATCGCTATAATCAGTTAACCAACAAGGACCTCAAGCCTGTTGAGCCTGAGCGCCGCACATGGGGCCCGTGGAACTTCGTCGGCTTCTGGATTGCCGACTCCTTCAATATCAACACTTGGATGATCAGCTCCTCCATGATTGTGAACGGGCTCTCGTGGTGGCAGTCCTGGCTTTGCGTCTGGATCGGATACGCGATTGCCGGCTGCTTCATCTGCCTCACCGGCCGCATCGGCGCCACCTACCATATCGGTTTCCCCGTTGTGAGCAGGTCGAGTTTCGGGATTTGGGGTTGTCTGTGGCCGGTGTTTAATCGTGCCGCCATGGCCTGCATTTGGTACGGCGTCCAGTCGTACATCGGCGGACATTGCGTCTATCTCATGATCCGATCCATTTGGCTGAGTTGGGTAAGTCGTGTGTCCCCTGATCTGACGGAAGCGGTTGCGGAAGTCCGGGCGGCTGAACATGCATGCAGGACCGCACGACCATCCCGAACACGTTCGCGGCCGACTCGGGGACCACTACTGCCGATTTCGTCTCCTTTTTCCTCTTCTGGCTCGTGTCACTGCCGGCGATCTGGTTCCCTGTCCATACGATACGACATCTCTTCACCGTGAAGGCCTATTTCGTCCCCTGCGCCGGCATCGCCTTCCTGATCTGGGCTCTTGTCCGCGCGGGCGGTCCTGGCCCTATCGTAAGCCAGGGAGCCTCCATAGAGGGTAGCGCGCTCGCCTGGGAATTTATCAAGGGCGTTATGAGTTCCATCGCCAACTTCGCCACGCTCATCGTGAACGACCCCGATTTCACTCGTTTTGCCGGAAAGCCGCGCGACGCGTTTTGGTCACAGCTCTTCACTATTCCTCTCGGCTTCGCTCTCACCTCGCTCATCGGCATCCTAGTCTCCTCGAGCTCCGTGATTATATACCCTGGCAGCCAGCCAATATGGGATCCGCTCGACCTCCTAGAGAGGTTCATCGACGACGGCGGCTCCGGCCAACGTTTCGGCGTCTTCGTCATCTCGCTCGCCTTCGCGCTAGCTCAGCTGGGGACTAACATCGCGGCCAACTCCGTGTCAGCCGGATCAGACCTGACCGCGCTCCTGCCTCGCTTCATCAATATTCGCCGTGGCGGCTATATCTGTGCCGCCGTCGGCTTGGCCATGTGCCCGTACAACCTCCTCACGTCCGCGAATCAGTTCACGACCTACCTGTCGTCTTATTCGGTGTTCCTCAGCTCGATCGCGGGTGTCATGTGCAGCGACTACTACTTCGTTCGCAAGGGCTACCTCGAAATCAGGGAGCTATACGATGCTCGAAAGACTGGGCCGTACTTCTTCTCCTTTGGCTTCCATTGGCGGGCGTACGCTGCCTATATCAGCGGTATTCTTATCAACGTCGTTGGGTTTGCCGGCGCAGTAAACGGAGGCAATGTCCCCGACGGCGCGACGTACATCTATAACTTTAACTTCTTCTGCGGGTTCATCATCTCGACAGGAATGTACTGGTTCCTATGCTGGGCGTTCCCGATTCCAGCCTGCAGCGATAGGTGGATGGAGGTTGGCGACCAGATTGATGATGTCAGGTTAGCATACGACCAGAGTAGCCAGAATGATGTCGACGAGGAGCATGCTTTAAGTAGCAAGCATGGCAAGGACCATACGAAGACGGTATGACATATTACTTAGGAGCTCAACCGGGGTTAGGTGTTTTTAGGATAGGGGTCCCTTGATTAAGATACTCTCTGGATCCTAAGTGGCATGGGCAATGGCCTGGGCGCGTCTAGGAGCACACATGTACATGTTTAATGTCTACGAAGCTATGTGGGTGTAGTGTTATAAAGATATCAACAATATGGATTCAAATATAGGCAATTGTCGCACGGCTGACTGCACTATAAGGCATTGCCTATAGAAACAAATGTTACTTGTACTTAGCTAACAATGAATCAGCTGAAGGTAGCAGATTCCAACGTATTACACGTGAGGTAAACGCTTGTGGCCATGCTCATTAGGGATACCTACAATAGTTGATTTAGTTCTTCCTTCTACAGCAACCTTTGACTTCTCTATTATTTGCCGCTTTAAGGCAGGATTCCGGTATTTGTACATGACTACTTGAGGTACCACCGTCACCTAGGATCAAAATCACCTGTTGCGTAAAACCTAAACGCCTAGGTATTACATTCTACGACTTGCAGATGTAGGCTCATGAGGGTTGATCCTATACATAGGACCACCTCGTTAAGTCTCCTGCCTAACATCCACCCGCTAGTTAGGCATTTTCAATTGTTTCTTCATGCTCTAACCCTGGGCTATCACTTGTAGCATTCCAGAAGCGGAAATGAGTATACGCCCCTCGTAACAGGGACCGTGTATCTTTGCCCTTAAGGTAACTACATAAAGTTGTAAACTCTTCACGGATTCGCTCTGCTAAACCTGCAGCAATAACAGTTATCTTTTAATAGATGGGTGGCGTCACACTGGTGATGGCCTATAAGTTATGTGACGAGTACTAATCACGGTTTCAAGGAGCATTGTTGTCAGAACAACCATGGTACTATTAGCTAAGTACCAGGAAGTATTATAAATAGCTTAAGCTTACCTTATATTATTTTCAGGTCCTTGTGATCTCAATTTTAGCCAGCGCGAAAGTATGTATAACCTATTGTAATAACATGTGCTATGCATTCAGCATATTAACCAAAATCAACTAAAACTAACAAAACATATTAAACCTAACCAAGGCTGCTACAGAGAGAAGCAGTTCATTGAGTATATTAAACCGAAATAAGCCTGATTGCACGGTACAAGTACCTAAGTATATGAGGTTTGTTTATAAAAGTTACTCGAGCTCCTAGTACTGGTTTTTCGTACCTATTCGAGCCCCCAGTGCGGATTTTCAAAGGGTGTTCGATCACATACTGCTGATTCACTTCTTCTCGCTCTCCTTTACTTATTTTTTACTCCTTCTCGTTCCCTCTGTCGTCTTTCCTAACTTTCACTTATCTGTTGCCCATCCCATCGTCTGTCCACTCGTATCTCCGGTATCACACCTTTCACGAAACTAACCAGGACAGGCAAGGACGGATTCATTGCGTTCTTCGGCATTCTCTCCTTCACTATACCAATAGTCTTCTTCACAGCAGATTCCACCCCTGGTTGATGTCTACGTTCGGTGCCGGGTTGGGTTCATTACACCGCCACCCTTACCCAGTCACGGACGAGGTGAAATACACCTCTGACCAGGCCATGAATGCAGGCCATCAAGTCGCTGGCGTGGGCCCTCAAGCTAACCACGACCAAGTTGTAGCTTACCAAGTCCATCGTCCGACGCAGAGGGGCATCCTCAGCCTAGCCACAGAGACTCTGTACAAGATCTCTTCGTACCTCACGGTTACAGAATATGGAAACGTCAGGTTGACTTGTCGCGACCTGGAATCCCGCCTCTTTGACGATTTCGCTAAGGAGTTCTTCGGTGCTCGACAGTTTCGGATCACGGAGGACTGCCTAAGGACTCTCACCAACATTTCCAGGTCTCGTCTGAATGTTTATGTAACGGAACTTATAATCAGCGTTGCAAACCCTGGCCTGGAGTATAGGGATTCTTTTACAGCTGTTCCCCCGCACCTTTATGCGCACAAGCATCTAAACCACTGGCCTCTGGTGGTTACAGACAGAGGCTTCCAACTACTTACGGTAGCACTACATGGCCTACCCAACGTGCAGGCGATTGGCATCCGAGACTTCTCTTTCGTTGGCCGATATCGATATAAAGGGAGCCCCCCCTGGTACAGCAGCATGGCCAAGAGATTTATCATTGTGCCATCAACACTCCCCCCAGAGCCGGAGATCGAACGAAGGACTCTTACTGACTACTGTAACCTCGAGAATTGTTTAGGAGGTCATCCAATATACACATACCACCTGTTCCTAATGATCCTACGGGTCATGGGGAGCATCGCAAGAGTGCATCGCCTCCCTACGCGTCTGGAAATGATTTTCAAGTGGGGTTATATGCCATGCGAGTACCTTACAATCCCACATGGTATTCAACTGCAAGCTTCGCATTTCCTTGGAAAACTCAAGGTCCTGTTCTTGCAATTTACTCCTGTAACAGACCTGTCTTTTGTCACTCCCCCTGGTGGTGGCATTTCACCCTGCTCCACTCTGCCGCTCATGAGACTTCTTTCACAAACGCCATCACTTCAGCATTTGAGGTTGGATTTCACAAGCTACGACCTGTTGAATGCAGATGGACCTGGACAGACTCTACGCTGGCTTGCTGGGGAGACCCAAGAGCGCTTCTCAACGGGGTCGAGCAGCCTCTTGGTTTACCCACCACTACCACCAGCACCCACATTTCAGCACCTGGAACGATTCGATTTCGGATATGGAATTGTTCGCCCTTCCGACTTACTCAACTTCTACTTGAAGTATAAGTCGACCTTGCGTGAGATATCTCTTCACGCTGCCTCTCTCGTGACCCAACAACCAGAGTTGAAGGAGGATGTCAGCGAATGGGCTAAATTCATCGACCAGCTTGCAGATCTCGAAGAGCTCGGTTTGCAAATTAAGACCATAAATCTCAGCAAACTCACTGAGCGTTACTACATGGAGACCAGGGACGACAATGGCTGGTTCAAGACTTATTTCCGGCATCCAGGGGCGCTGTGGGGCGCACCCTCACAGAAATTGTATATCATGACATGGACCGGTGCCTCTTGTACGTTGACTTCATCCCAAATCCCTTCATTCGAGTTTCCTTGAGGAGCCTGCCCGATTCAAAGCAGCAATTAACCTATACTGTTAGTAAAACTTGCCCAAAGGGACCTCAAGCCTTGGATCTTCGTCAACCTGGACGATGATCTACATTACGAGCGGCCTGGTCGTTCAAGTTCACCAGCTGGTCTAGTAAATAACCAGTGGGCCTAGTATAAGGATCTCGGGAGATGATAACGCCTTTAAGAACTGGTAAGGTATGCCCCTGTGCCGTTGACATACAAGCCTCTATATACAACCCACGGAGCCTTCTGCTCTGCTGTTAATATATGATTGCCTTTGCTGACTCCCTCTTGGATATCTCAGGCCATGCTTGTACTCCTCACCAACGAGCCTCCTATCACCGACCAAAATGCCACGATTTGGTTTCCTCTAAGCACTTCGGAGGCACTCTGTGTAACTATCGCATACCCCTCCGGCCCAGGTGCATTTGTTATTTCATAGTTCTCTACTCATTTCATGTGCAGGGAAAATGAAGGGGGCGGAGACTTTTTATCCCGCCATGGTGCAAAGAAAGCTCAACGTCCCTAGGATGGTTGTACCCGCATCAGCTAGGAGAACAGCCCCCTTCTCGGACGACAACAACAACCTCTACATTGTAGTCAGTCATGCCCAGGTAGTAATACATTTCGCTTCTTCACACAGTATGTCGAGTAACAAGCCAAACTCTAGACATTTCCGTTAAGGAAGTCTAGAATTGAGCCGAACGTCGTCTCTGCTGAGGGCTCCTGCTCGTAGTTAGGATCGAAGTTCTGTAACTTATTATGGGGGAGGGGAGGGAGCCTTTTCAAAGTGAACAATACTCACCAAGTTCAAGCCGTTCCCGGCGCCGAGAACGATGCTAGATTCGAACACGCTCGCATTCGTGAAGTATTGTTCTAACCTGGCGGGAATAGGCGGGTCGGACGACAGACAATTGCCTCCGCAAACCGAAATGTCGCGCTCTATTACACATTTTCGAATCTATCAGCTTCCCAGTCCTAGATTCTTCTTACGCAAAGTTGATTTGCTTAAATCTGCTGGCAGTACCACTTCAATAGAGGCGTCTCTGTCCAGTGATGTTGAAGGAGATTCAGGGGGTCCGAATGACCCTATCCCCTCCTTTTAACAAAAGGGGGGTATTGATTGGATGGAAGAAAAAGCCAAACTAACCTCCAGTAACCACCAGCACGGGCCCAGCGAATGCGCTCTGCCCGGAAGCGAGGGCGCTGAGGCTCAGGAGCTCGGCGACAGCGACGGGCTGGACGTCGCTGTAAACGGCCTGCAAGACGGCCGGGTCAATGCCCTGGGGCGCAACCGTGTAGGTCTGGACGCCCCTGGCGTCGCCCGGCACGAGCCAGCCGCCCGGGTAGCCGGCGTCGGAAGAGTCGACGCCCGTCGTCGCGGGGTACGAGGAGAAGTTGGAGACGTTGGTGGGCCGGGAGGAATCCGGTGCGTTCGAGGCCGAAACGAAGTTCGCCCCCAGAAGGAACCGCGAAAAGTAGTCCCGCGAGGTGTGCCCGAAGCTCGTTAGGACGATTCCGTCGGAGAGCTCACCGCTGCCGCTGCTACCGCCGGTATAATTTCCGCTAGTACCGTTGATACCGCCGTTGTAGGGGATGCCACTCCCGGCGCTATTGCCTCCAGGTGTAGTTCCATTGCCCACAGGTACCGCCCCCAGGTAGGCCGAACTTCGAGAGAGTCGGGGGGAGAAGGTGAGGGCACGGCCAGTAGTGCGCTTAGAAGAAGGATTGTTTGTAGGATAATGGGAAGTCTGGTTGCTATCGAAGGGAGGGGAGGCATAAGGTGTAGACGGAGACGAAGACTGCTCCGAGGGAGGCGAAGACGCGGGATATGAAGGCTGGGAAGACTGGGACGAAGAGGAAGAAGCCACCAGCGCGTATGTCAGCAAGGAGCCGTAACCGTGGCCGACATGGACGACTTTATCGTAGCGGGTGCGGACCCCGGGGACACCAGCGGAGCGGAGGGCCACTGTGAGGGCGCGGAGCACAGCGACCTCGACCGGGGCCTGGAGCTCGTTTACGGGGTCAACGGGACGGCCGTCGCTCGGGAGCGAGCCTCCCGTACCCAAGCGGTCGTACGCGAAGGTGCTGTAATTCTGGGCGATAGCCGCGTTCACGTAGCTGTAGTCGGCGCTGTTGCCGCTGCTATATCCGGTCTGGTTGCGCTGGGTGCGGTTGAAGGAGAAAGGGGACGACGATGAGCGCGGGGAGAGGGAGAAATCCCAGTAGGACCGGTCGAATCCAATGCCGTGTGTTAGGATCTGTACCGCCCGGCCCGGTCCCGAATCTGGCACGCAGTACGTGCCGGTGATGGTGTAGTCTCCAGATATGTCCACAAACTGATATCGCATAGCTATGTTAGCTGGCTGATCTATATATTATAGGCACAACGAGGTAGGCCCAAAATTCACTCCTGATACTAACCTCGTCGCCGCCATCGCTTACGATGGCAGCAGCAGAATTCTTTCCCGCTTGCGCCAGGTTCAGAATGAAGCTCGTTACCTCGCTGTCGCTGGTAGGTGGGCTGAGCGCGAAGTTGGTGTTGCGCGCCGATATCGAGATCGGAACAGCAACATCCTGGCAGCTGCGGGCTCTGGCTACGGCCGCGAAGGCGGCCACCAGGAGGGAGAGGCTTGCGTGGTGATTTGCTTGGACCATTTTGAACCGCGACGGTTTTGAAGCTCGGCGTACTAACTTTCTTTCTGTAGTCACCTTCTACGATCGCTGACTGGAAGAGCCGCCTTTCGAGGAAGAGCAACAAGGAGTGCCGACGCTACTTTTATACCTCCTGTCTGTCTGCCCTGGGCTATGGAAAAGGGGCTGATAATAACCAGGAGTAGCACTGGATCGCCCCGGCACTACCCTTTGGCCCACCAATAAGCCGCTACCCATCATGCTGACATCTTCAAATGGGCTGCGTTAAGGGGCGTAGGCCCTTAGCGACCGGCCGATGCGGGTAGAGGCCGCCGCCGCCGCGGTTTCGCTGGTCGTGTACGCTCAGGAACTCGCGTAGATGTCTAAAGTGGGACGAAGGGGGATCAGGGCTAATAGTACGTATGCGTCAACTACGGTTGCCAGGGACTGCGGGTCTCTGCTAGAACGGAGACCCCTATCACGGCTCGCCCCCGGGAACATCGGGCTAGCCGAGCGTGCTACTATCGTCAGTAGCAGTCAACGTTGGAGTCATGCCGGCCCGAGTGCGCGAGACGCCGGTTGACACCGAGTCATGTAGGCCTCGTTCCGATCCTTTCACATGGCTTTCTCGGTCCAGAATCTCTATCTTCGACATGCCAAGCCGTCGGGGGTTACAAAACGAACGGCCGCGCTTCTAGGCTTCGTACGGTTGCTCTAGGCGTTAAGCGGCTGATACGCGCGGCAATGCCTGGGACCGGGTTCGGGCTCCACTTTGCCGGGCTGGACTTAGGCTAAGTTGGAGCCGAAGGGGCCTATGGGGACTCCTCATGGCGCGGGAGATCCGTCAGGGACCGGCTAACTTCATCCTCGGATGCACTCGTCCGATCGTCATCTCTCAAGACCAGCCGCCTCGAATCTACTAGAGCGGATAGACCCCAAGGCGGACCACACCGTACGAAGACTCACGTGGAAGTAAGTGCGGGATCCATATACCTACGGTAACAAATCGAAGCAAAGCAGTGAGTCACGAAATATAGTCAACCTTACTACTCGTAGAAACCCGTCACATGAAAATCTGGACGTGAAGGATCGACAGAGCCCGGTTTGGATACGGTCTGTCAGATGAAGAGCAACGCGGGGGAATACGTGCGCGAGATAGCTCCGCGGAAGCTCCGAGAAGCATCTCTTCTCCCCTGCGTCGAGTTGAATCTGACATGGTAATCCGGATCGAGCTCGAGAGTAAGGATGCAACGTGGCGGCTTACCGTGCAGATATAGGGGATACGACGAATCCACACACAGACGGATAGGGAAGGCACGTCAACATGTCTATTACGGTGTTTGAGTCGGGCCTTTTCTCTCTATGGACCAGAACCATCGAAACATAGTAGTAGTGAGCGTCCGCACATGTCCACGGAACGCATATTACACCTGACACATAACTCTCCACAAGCAGCGACCATGGAATTCGCCGAGTGACGCCGTCTCCTCATACTTGACGGATCTACCAAATCCTGTCTATCGTTCCCGTGCCCGTGTTTATTTTGGCCCATGCCCGTTGGTAGCAGTTCCGTTAACGCCGTTACCGTTGCTCAAATGGGTCTCCCGGACCGCCTTTTCCAACGCTTGCTGGATGTCGCGGACCAGGTCTTCGGGCTCCTCGATGCCGCTGCTGATGCGGACGAGATCATCAAAAACGCCGACGGCCTCTCGCTGGTCTCGAGGGATGCCGGCGTGGGTCATGGCGCTCGGGAGCTCGACTAGGCTCTCGATACCGCCGAGACTCTCGGCCAGGGTGTATATCTTGGTCAGCTGACAGAAGCGTTCGGCCGCGGCGCGCCCGCCCTTGATTCGGAATGAGAGCATACCGCCTCCCATGCCGTCCCGATGTTGGCGCAACGCGATGTCCCGGTGCGGGTGGGAGTCTAGGCCGGGGTAGTTGACGGCGATGACGTGGGGATTAGCCTCGAGAGCCTCCGCCACAGCGGTGGCGTTGATGCTCGACTGCTTCACTCGCAAGTGCAGGGTTTTGACTCCCCGGTGCGCCAGCCAGCAATCAAAGGCCGAGGGGACGGCGCCGCCGGCATTCTGGAGGAACGACAGGCGCTCTCGCAGCTCATCCGAGTTGAATGCGGCCAACCCCATGACCACGTCGCTGTGTCCGTTGATGTACTTGGTGACACTATGGACGACGATGTCGGCACCGTGGTCGAGAGGGTTCTGGACGTAAGGGCTCAGAAAGGTGTTGTCGACGACAACGGCCACACCTCGGGCGTGAGCAGCGGTAGCCACCGCCCGGATGTCCACCAGCCGGAGAGTGGGGTTGCTGGGGGACTCGATCCAGACCAGCTTGGTGTTGTCTCGGATGTGCTCGGCGATGTCGACCTCGATCTGCGGGGTGAAGGTGACGGTGACGCCGTGGGCCTTGGCCACGCGAGTAAAGTAGCGGTGGGTGCCGCCGTAGACGTCGCTCACGCTGATGACATGGGAACCCGAAGCCAGACTCTGCAGGATGGTGGCGGTAGCGGCGCTGCCGCTGCCGAAGGCTAGCGCATATTTGGCATGCTCGAGGGCAGCGACGGCCTTCTCAAAGTTGTCGCGGTTGGGGTTGGCACTCCGCGAGTACTCGTACAACCCGACGGGATTCCCGACCGAGGTCTGCTCGAAGGTGGTGGAGAGAGAAATGGGCTCGATGACGGCGCCGGTGGTAGGGTCGTGAGGAGCGCCGGCATGGACGGCCAAAGTTCCGAAGCCGTGGACAGGGGCCGGTTGCGGGGGAGGGGTCGCGATTGGGTGGGTGATGGGGATCGTCATGGCTAGCGACTGCGAAGACCTGACTGTATATCTATGCAGTCCTACCAAGGCTGAGCGGTACGTGTCGGCCGAACGGGAATCACGTAGCTGGCGGACGGGTAGTGGCCGCAACCTCGACCGTCCCGCGCGTAGGTATGCTGCCAGACAAGCCCAGCCAGCAACCCCAGCACTTTTTGTTTCCAGCGCGTACGGAGCGGGCCGGTTGAGCGGTACGGACGCAGCAGAAGGGAGAAAGGCAGATACTCTCGGGAGGTGTCGAGGAGAGAGGCGAGAAAGGAGCGAGCAGTGATGAGAATAGCCGAAGCGAGTGTCAATCGACGTCTGCTGCCGGACCTGGGTGTCTTCGCTAGCCCAGACGGGAGGAGAAGAGGAGGGCGAGTGGGTAGGTATTAGCACCTGCTATAGTTCCGAGCGGGCGGATTGTCCAGACAGGCACTGTCAAGACGTGGGCCGGTCCCGACGATGCTCTCAGGTTAGGTAGGTCGGTAGACACCCAGGTTAGGTCGGTCTAGGTCTAGGTAAGTCTGGGTCTAGGTAGGTACTTGGAGCGGCACGGCATGGGGCAGGAAAATCGAGCAAGCGAAATCTCGCGTGCACCTCATGCGAAGCTGGCGTGCTCGAGATCGCCGCTTGCGCAAGGTATTACCAGCGGGAGAAGAGTAGACGGGCGAGATAGCTGGTGAAGCCGGCTGGCACCCTCTCCTTCCCCCTCGGCCAAAGACAGGTACAGCACACCCCTATATATATACCTATACATATACACACATACACACACGGCATGTCGGCCGTAATAATAATAACAGGTATACCTCGATACATCCCGGGCCCGCCAGAGACGAACTGGCCAACTCCAACAGAGAGAAAAGGCGATGTCGTCTGCGGGCGCGTGTTGTGGGTTTGTCATGGGTTAAGCCGCTGATTGGCATTTTCGCCATTGTCCACCACCGACAATTCGTCATTTGCAGGCGGCATGAGGAAATCCACCCGGCTTGGCGCTATTATTAAGCATCGCCGCCGCTGCCTCGCCCTCCTGCCACCGCCTCCGAGTGCCGCCGTCGATGTACCTACTTGAAGTCTATCTACTACCCAACAGGTAGTAACCCAGCTTTTTTTTGTTTGTTTTTTCCCCCCTTCTTCTTCTTCTTTCTCAACTCCAAAAATTGGGTGCCTGTCCACAAGTGCCTCTTCATAATACCTACCCAGGTGCATCCGCCCAACGCCGGTAGATACCTACCTTACTATCCACGTCCATCCGTAGATATGTCAGCCAGGCGCGTAAACCCCCCCCCCCCGGCTCGGACGGGGCTGAAAAGGGTACGAGTTGGTAGCAGCAAAAGGCGCGCACAAGTCCAGAACCATAAATCTCGCAGAACGTCATTGGTATGAGCTTATCAGGACCCGAACTGTCGAGAATGAGGTTGCCATCCCATCAGCGTCCCATCCCGAGTGCCGGCTTACCAATTAGATACCCTGCCCGGCCTCGAGCTGAAGCCAACATCCCAGAGAAGAGAAGAGAAGGGAAGACCATGGGGACGAGGATTTGACACGAAGTGGAAACGCCAACAGGTAATTATTACCTACAAACAATCCACGTGTGTATGTATACCTCGAGGTACCTATCTAGGTAGGCAAGCCGACAGGCCTCGGGCGCTGATTGAAGGTATGATACGGTACGGCTGTAGGTACCTAACCCCGGACACCCAGGTATATCTGTCCTGATCTGGGTACCTACCCATAATGTAGCATCCGATGGCCAAACCCACCAACTGCGTATAACCCATAATACCCATCCACGCCCTCGCCTAACATATCTGCCCATCCACACCTACGATTTCGGTCACGCCTCGATTTCGTGTTTGTAATGTCCCAACCCGCACACTCTCGGGAGCCAACAAAGCCGAAGCTGGAGGTGTGGAGATACCGAGCAGGAAGAACAAAACAACAGGCCCTTCCGTATTTCAGTCTGCTCAGCATCGCTGACGCCCGGAACTTGGACCGACCTCGAACCTCGAAACCCCATTCCCCTCACATGGCCGAACCCAAGGCCTCCCCAGCAGTATTCATCGCCTCTGCGAGACAATCCGGCCGTATCTTGTCGTAAATGTCTTTCTAGAACTCTTGGCGCTCTGGAATCCGCCCATACTGGGGCCTCTATGGCTGCTCCAAAGGCGTAGGCTGGATCGACGCCCTCGTACTCGGATTCCCGCCTCGTGCTCTCGGAGAGGTAGTTCGACGGTACCATTGCTCTCGGGCCTCCCTGACAAATTCCGCCTCTATATATGAACGCTCCCAGATTTCGGGCCCGGGTACATACCCCGTTACGAATCCCAGCTGAGGAATATCGAAACAGCGTGAAGCTCACTGATCCCCCCGTAACCTAGAGGATCATATAAGTAGAGGGCTGCCATATTGCTGCTCTATGTAGAGGGAGACCTTCGCGTACTCGGTGTATAACCTCGTATCACTCTCGTCAGCGCTGTCTAAAGGCCCCAGGTAGAAGAGCTAGTTTCCTCCCAGAAACAACCTGGTTGTGTCAGTAGAAACCGGATTCTCGTTCTCGACGACTCTCTCCTTATACGCCGTTTATTGTCCAGAGAGCTGCCCCATACGTCTCACTTCCACATAGCGGACTACTAAGTTCTAGATATCCTCAAAAAGTCAGGTGTTCCATCAGAGCCCAAACGAGCCACGACGTCCAACCCCATATCCATGACCTGCTTGGCACAGGGCCCCTAGATCCCGAGGGCCAAATGTCCACTCGTCCAAGAACGAGAAATATACCATACCTTACGCGAAGGATCTAGAGCCCAGGGTAGCTCGGTATCAACTCACAGCCGCCGTTGGCAGGTAGGCCTAAGCTCCAGCTGCTGCATATGGCCATCGAGGAAGCCATGTAGTAGCGGTGATACGATAACTTGAACCACCCGCTCCATCGTCGCCGCTTATGTCGCCTACACATGTCGCCTACACGACCAGCTCCCAGCCTTTTGCTCGCTGTCCTCCATAACACACCGCGTCACCCCGAGGGCCGCCATGAACAAAAAGTGTCGGTGACCATCACCGAAGTGATAGAAGCGCCGTCCATCTACTGAACGCCTTGCGGCAGGGTACACGTCGTAGCTGGCGTAGGCTCACGAAGGTATCAACTAGCGAGATCTAGGTATACAATGAACGAGCGGCAAGCGCGCTGAACGGCGGACGGAGACGGTCGAGAGAAAACGGAGACATTCCCGCTTGTGCCTTCAAGTAGCTTCAGAGGCGGGAATGAGTCCGGATTACCGGATCACCTCTCGTGGTACGAGACAGAACAAACATTGGAGCAAGCAAGCACAGGAAAGGGGGTGTTGTCACACCATAGCATGTGCGTAACTACGGTTTCAACACCACCTCACCCCCTCCGCTCCCCTCCCCTCCCCGGCCTCGCGCGACGACGAGGGAGGTCTATGAGGTTGATGGAACCCTCCTCTTCTCTCACTCCTACCTCTCCTCTCAAGCCTGTTACCCTCCCCGTCATTCGCTCGATCAAGGGAGATGTCAAATAATCGCCTCCCCATTGCTTCTGCTTTTCTTACTCCCGTCTGGGCATCCGCAGCTGGAGCTTAAATATTTGGAGCCACAATGGCGAATTCCTTCCCCTCCTCGTTTCTCGATGGGTGCCCAGTTGAGCGCGTAGACAGGGTTGTCGGAACCCGGGGTAAGTTGTACGATGCACACGGACTAGCGAGTGACAAGCCGGCCCACCCCGAAGTCCGGAGGAAGGGTCGTGATGCTTGGGCAGGGTCAGGAACGAGCGGCAAGTATCGAAGGTATGCTATGCGCGCCCGACACCGTGGTATTCCGCTCTACCCCGTGGCCCAACCGGCCGATATCCGCTGCACCGGATCGAGACGCCCGCCTCCCCCCCGCACCATCTACAGTCCTCCCGTCTCGTCGCCTACGAGCCGTGCTGCATGCGGGTAGTCAGTCTCCTTGACGAGTCAGTCAATAGATATCCCAAGAAGCGGCAGCGGCGGACCAGAGAAAAACTATTGTCGATGTCTAAAGAGAAGAACACGCCAGGGGAGCCTCGGGGAGGTAGATTGAGATAGCGTGTGATCTCAGCCTGGAATCTGTGTACCCAGCCCATGTAAGATACCACTTTCAACCTAGAACAGCCATCCTCTGCGATAGGAGCGTAAGGCCTACGGTCGTGTACCTTATGAGCCGTGCACGATCCAATCGACCCCGGCGGCCGGGCCTCCTCAGGTGACCCGTGTCGAGAAGCCGGCGTCTCGGCTTCGCAGCGAGATAGAAGCGAGGCCGCCGCACCAGACCCCTAAGGGGTCCCCGAATCCGAGGACTCGGAGAGGCCCGCGCTGCCGGCCGGCCGGCAGATACACACTCTTTGCCCGCCCCCATCGGGTGCGTCCGAGTCCCGCGTCTGCTTCCAGAACCACGACGTCGACGTCGTCGTAGGTAGATTTTGCTACTAGCACACGTATCCGGGGCTATCTGCATTGAGGGGGATTTCTTCGCCGCCGGGGTGCCCCGTCGTCGATACAGGCAAGGACGGACAGGCCGCCACCCACCGGAAGGGAGGCTAGCTTCACTGTGTTACAAGCCCACGGCCGGCTCCGAGGAGTTGGCTGCCAAAGGACAGGCCGTAGCCGTCTACTCGAAATGGCCCGCAGTCCTCGCGACACTCGCGGCAGACGGATACGAGGAAGAGGCAAGTTCCCCCCCCTTTCCAAACCGACGAGAGCGCTTCGTGTCCACCTCGCGAATTCCAGAGAGCAAGTATTGCAAGGGAAGAGTGGAGTTCAATTACACCTCAAGCCAGGCCCGAGGCGATCTCTACAGAGTGAAGACTACCGTGCGGCCCAGCTCTTTTTTTTTTTTTCTTTCTCACGTAGACGCCCCCTCTACTCCTCCCCTCCCACTCCTCCCCCGTTTCCTCCCTCAGCGCGGTATCTACATGGCTCTATACAAAGCATGACCCTCGCGAGTTCGCCACATGCATTCTCCACTCCGGTTTTTTTTTCTTTCCCTCTCAGTCCTCGCCTTCTTCACACTTGTCGTTGCGAATATCGTACACGTAGCGTAGGTATGGTACATCCGGGTCGTGGGGTTCTTGTTCTCGTGCGGGTATCGTTCGCGATCACTCGTTGATCTTGGCCAGGATCCTGCGGCGCCGGGCGGGTTAGCAGATGCGGGGACCAGCCGGGGTGCTGCCGTGCGACGCATGACCCAGCCCGAGTGTGCACGATCAGGGAAGCGGGAGAGGCCGGGGAAAGAAAGAAAGAAAGAAGAAAAAAGGGGGATGGGTCCTTACTCGCTGTCGCGGAAGAGGTGGTACTCGTCCTCTCCGACCTTGACGGGGGATCCTCCGTACTTCGCGAAGAAGAATAAACAGTTAGCAACAACCCCTACCTAATCTCCGTCGGGGGGAATAGAGAGAGAAAGGAATTGGGCAGGCAACTCACCTGGGGGATCAGGACCCTGTCGCCGGCCTGGACGCCCATGGGCACGCGCTTGCCGTCCTCGCTGAGGGCGCCGGGGCCGACGGCCAGCACGCGGCCCTCGTTGAGCTCCTTGACGCTCGACTCCGGCAGGAAGATGCCGCTGGCCGTCTTCGTGTCCGCCTTGATCCGCTGCACCAGCACCCGATCCAGCAGCGGCACCAGCGACTTGATCGATCGGATAGCGGTGGCCTGCAGAAACGTTTCCCCCCAGAGCGCGTTAGACACGGTCTAGTATCGCTGCCCGCCGGCACGGCCGAGCCGTTTCGGGGTGCCGGAGTGCGATTGGGGGAGGAAGGAAAGGCCGGCTTGTTCGGCTGGGAAGGACAAAAAAAAATTCTGTTTTTTTTTTTCAATCCGCGCTCGCACGGTAGTGTGCGGGCGGTAGTTTGACGCTCGGCGGAATGGGGGTTGGGAGAAGGGAGGGAGGGGGGCTATGCGTACCATTGTGATGTTGTGTATATGTGTGTATGCTCAATGGCAGATTGCGGGCAGAGCGAGAATTTCTCCGGAACTGTCTGAGGAGGAGGAGGAAACTCGGATGTTGAAATGTGAAGCTATCGCGGTGTTGGGGCTGTGATAGAAAGCTTTAGAAGATTCAAGTGGCCTGTGGACCGAGGAACCCCTCCAAACTTTTTTTCATTGCAGGGTTTTTCCGATTACCGGGGCTACTCGCCTAGCCAGGTATTACTTAATCCGTAAAGGGCGAGAGGAGGAGGTACCTACCTACCTAGGTACCTAATCTACCAGAGGTACTTGTGGTGCGAGTACCTCCAGTGTTTCCACGTGCGGGCGCGCGGGGTTGGTTCTCTTACGTCCGAACAGCCCGAACCATCCGCGTCGGTTACGTGCCTGCACCGGGTTGTCCGGATCCACGTACGTGGAGGAACCTAAGATACCTTAGGGACCTATCATAGGAGGTAAACACTCCCCCTGGTGTACACAATTCACAGCGCACTCTAGGTAGGCAACGTCTACAGAAAATAAAACACGTTACTGCCTGCCAACCCGCAATTGAATGAATACTCTGATCCCCATCCCTACGTAGATGCAAGATATATGGCGTTAACAGCTCGCGCTTTTCTGCCTCTACTATCCTGCAATAAACATGCTTTGCTTGTAGCTCGGTGCCGCATAGTCACACTGACAGCTCTAGCCTACACCGTTGTGAACCTCTATGGTTTTCGCCGCGTCCGCTTCCCCCACCACAGCGGTCGAGACTATATCTAACTCCTAACCTAGACGCCGTAGAATACTGTCCCTTACACCCTGTAGTCCAGAACACATCCTGTATCACACACCAGCCACTCACCCACTCACTCACTTACTCACACCACACACACGTCCATCCCCGTAGCTCCTTCCTATTTGCTAGGCGGTGCTGGCGGCTCGAGAACATGAACGTGATCCTGTGCGTGGATGACCTTCCCGTGTTCTACCTGCCTACACACCACCGTGTCTGACACCCAAGGCTCCTCGAGGATCTCAGACATCTGAGCCCGCTGCTTCGGATCTATCGTCAGCATTCTCCCAATGATATGCCTGCTCTCCCTGGGAAGCAGCCGCAGCAGACGCCACGGTCCTCTGATGAGCTCCTTGGCCTCCTTATTTTCCTGGCCGCTGGCCGCTGCCGGTTTAGGCGTCGAGGGTTCAACGATCCTGGGTTTCTGCTTCTCCATCTCCTCCTCTGAGAATATATCCCGTTGCGGGATAGTCGACAAATCATTGGTAGACCGCGAGGGAATGATCAACTTCTTGGGATCGTGACCGGGGCTCGGCTCCGCCGCGAAGAACTTGTACGAGTTATCCGTCATGCGGGGGACTTTCCACGGAAATCGTCTGAGTATCATGCAGCAGAATATGATCGCGAGCGACCAAATGTCCACGGCCTGCGGGTCGTATTTGCGCTCGTCGTAAACCTCCGGGGCCAGGTACGGATCGGAGCCGACGACGCCTGTCTACTTGTTAGATACGTGCGATAATTGTCTGTCAGGTTCTCGACTTACCCGCTGCGAGCACGATCTCGCTCTCAAAAGGGTACCTAAAAACGTGCGCGCTACCGAAGTCGATGATCTTCATAATCCCATGTTGGCTAACAACGACGTTGTCCAATTTCAGGTCCCGATGAGCCAGGCCGGAGCTGTGGAGATAGGTCACTCCGCTGAGAATTTGTAGGAAACAGCAAAATATTTCGGGCTTCGACATTCTCCCCGTCATCACTATGGCAAACAGGTCGAAGGGAGCGTACTCCATGACCTCGTACCATTTCCCCTTCTCTTGAACGATGTCGAGCGTCTCGATAATGTTACCGTGGTGCAACGCGGACCCAATGCAGAACTCGGCTGTCAGCTTCTTGACATACTCCTTTTCGGTTTCGTAAGAGTGCCGAGGACGAAACTCCTTCACTGCAAAAACTGTGTTATCGTCGGTCCTCCTCATCAGTTTAACGGAGCCTCCGGCGCCGGCCCCGAGAACTCGGCCGAGCTTCCCATACTTTGCCGAGAGGCCGTGATCATCGGCGAACGGGACCCGCGGGGTCGCTCTCGAACCTAGAGGCGAAGGCGACGTCGATTTTTTGGGCTTGTGGTTGACCCCGACCTTGAAAAACCGCTTCAGGTCGGACATGGACCCGTGGGTACTCGGTGCCGTCGAATTGCTCCTCGCAGGATGGAGATCGCCTGATTTATTCCGGTTCGTGAAGAAAGTAGAGTGCCTCTTCTCCTGCTTGTCGATCTTCGAGAGATTCGTGGAGGAAGCCGAAGGGGAGCCTCGCTTCTTCTTCTTGGCAAACACGAATCTCTGGTCTATGCTACCACTCAACTTCTGCGGCGGTCGCCTACTGGCGGCATACGGGTCATTGGCATCCCCGTGGGGAGTGAAGGGCCGCGAGTAAAAATGAGAGGCGGTATACCTCGCCGGGCTTGTTTCTCTCGAGACAGGCACAGACGAACCGTCACCCGGCCCGATGCTAAACATGCCTCTTCGATGAGTAGATCGGGACCCGCCGTCATTCTCATCTACCGCGGTCGAGCGTTGCGAAATGTTATCACTAGAGGCCGGCCGATGCGTTAAACCGATCCGGGGCGAGTCAGGTCGGGAATCCTGGCCAGAGGCCTGCGGAGTTATCGCCCGAGAGTCGAAGCCGCGGTCAGGCCCGGGGCCTGGGCCTGGTTTCGCATTTCGGTAGTCTGCGGCGGCGGAAGTTCCGGCCGGGGTCAAGGGTGGCGATGCCAGCTCAGGGGCTTTGGGGCTCAACCGCGGCGATGGATGGCCCATAGGGCTATGGCTGTGCTGGGGAGTGGCACTAGGCGTGGTCTCATTCGACACAACCTAGAGGAACGCTGTCAGCTACGACTAGACGAGGACAGGTCTCGAGGCTCCTCAGAAATATATGTTGTCATCGATAGCAGACTTGTCCGTCGAACAAAGCATCGCCCCGCACATGATCTCAGAAGGACAATCAAGGCGCAACGGCAACAGGGCAATCGTGGGAACTCTGCGTGCTATCGCTCGCAGCTTCCCTAACGACCAATACTGGAGGTATATGACATACCCTGGAGGGTGGTAGGGAGACCGGGGCAAAGGAATAATTCTTCAATCGCTCCTCCTGGAGCACGGTGCCGTGGAGCGAGCGGGACAGGGCGCGTATCAGGTCAGGAGTGGCAGGCAAGGCCTCTTGCCGGGTTTCCGGAAGGGCCAGGGATGCACTAGGAGGATCGATCTCGTCGATGGTCGACGCGAAGCGTACCGCGGGCGCACGCTCTGCAAGCTCTGCAGGGCCATCGGTAGGCTCGGGAACGGCGACGGAACAGCCTGCAACCAGATTCACTGTGTTAGTCATCCAAAACCTAGGGAGGGACTCGATTCCCAAGGAGAGGCGGCGGTAAACCGGGTCACAGGGGTAGGTGGTGTCAAATGAAATGATGATGATAATAATAATAATAATAACAACATTACCTTGCAGCGGCTCCAGCGAGCGACGCTTATCGGCGTCGATCGAATTTGGCATGGCAACCAAGGACGCCGAAGAAGGCGGTAAATTTGCGAGACAATCTAAAGGCGCCAGAAGGAGGGAGGGTAAGGATAAACGAATGCTTGCGAGCTCTGGGCCGAGAAATGGCCCCCAAAGAGTAGGTCGGCGGCGGGTGAAGAGAGAGGAAGGGAGAGGGAGAGAAGGGGGGGAAAAATTGAAGGAAATGAAAGAGAGAGAGAGAGAAGGCAGGAGAAAGAGGAAGTAGACGATGACGACGTGGTGTGCCCGACTGGGTAATGTTCTAGTTCTAGGCCGGGGGAGATAATACGTTAGGATAGTTCGGCTCTGTCGCTCTCCACGCCCTCGTCCTCTCCGTCTCCGCCTCTCTCTGGGCAATTCAGCGTGGGCACAGGGTGGGCGAGCGAGCGAGCGCTGTGAGTGCGTGAGTGAGTGTGTGTGTGTTGTGTCTCTCCCATCCGCTTCTGTCTCATCAAACCCTGCGAGCGACTTGCGTCCCACGGTGGGGCAGTCTAGCGTTGGTAGCTCCTGGTGCTGTTCCCAGCTCCCACCTTCCCACCTTCCCACCTCCGCCGTTGCCTGCCCGCGGCTGCCCGCCATAATGTCCGGCACTGGCGGGAGCACAAGACACCACTATCGACGTACGCATCGGTCCATCGATCGCACGGGAGGTCGAACGCCCTCTGCAGCCACCTGTCTGGGCAGCTAAACCCTCCACGTCTACGTAAGGGATCTCGATGGCCACACCCACGCCCACGCTCGCCGTCCTGCCACGGACCCGGCCAAGCCGAGCAGGATGGCCGAGCTATCTGAGGTACGTGAGTGAGTGAGTGAGTGTGCGTATGAGTCTATACACCCCCCCCCCCTTTCTGCGTCGCTAATCCCTATCGACCACATACCTGCCGCAGCTCAGCCACTGACACAGGCACAGCAATTACGAGTTACGAGTCAAATTTAAGTGTATTGGTTCCAGATCGGGAGGTGAGGGTGCTTGGAAATACTAAGAGATAGCGGGAGGTACTTCCAAGCCCAGCTAATTAAGATGCCTCGGCCTTTACCCGAGCTGTACCCACCAGACTCATTCTCCGACTGGTTGGGGTACATGGGAGGCTTGTACCTGGATGGGACATGCGGGCACTCACACGTACCTAGGTACCTTCACAGGCTCGTTTGTACAGGCGCAAGGTGGGGGGATTCGAGATTCCATCCGTTTGCGACGAAGCTACTCGGCCGCTAAGTACCTAATGTATGGGCGCGACGGATACAGTATGTCCCTAGATAGCTGGATAGGTACAAGGTAGGTAGCTGAATAAAAGAATTGCACACGCCGCTTCGAGGAAGTGCCCCATACTTTAGGTACATAGGTACCTAGATAATCACTACTACATCTAGGTGGGTAGGCTAAGAATTGAAGGTGCATGCAGTACCTCTTACCCTAGGTAGGTACCTATTCGCACCTGTAAGATGTTACCTACCTTGAGTATATGCGGAGGGAAGGAAAAAAACAAGAGACGGATAGGGTTTAAAGAAAAAGAAACTAGGTCATACTTTTATTTTTAAATATACATATATATAATATATTATAAAAATATCAAGGAGAAAAAAACTCCTTTCTCGGCTCCTCTTCTCTATATGCTTATTCCTTCATTATGTCTCGATGCTAGCTTCCGCCCAGATCCGCTCCCTTACAGCTTCTGGGCCTGCTTCAATTCACCTATATACACGCGTACCTCTGTTATCCCTGCGTTAGCTTCCTTGGTTAACTCATATATGTAGGTAGGGATGCAGAGCGAAGCAGGGAGCACTATCAGATGGACTCGAATCCGACTCCATGGCTTCGGCCAAAGAACTGGTAGTAGTTCACCATCCGAAAGTCAAATGAAGAACCGGAGGTTGAAAGAGCTAGGTACCTAGTGACCAAGAGGTAACGGCACGAGAGAGAACGAAACCCGACCCTGTCTTTCCGCCACCCGCCACACCTAGGCCGGGCAGACCTGGTACTATTGTAGATAGAGGTATTTCAGACATGCATGCATATGTGTATACATACATGCGCTTGCAGCGCCTGTGAGAGGTTGACTCGTTCTCGGAATCGTGTGCAGGCTCCATATAAGCTCCTCCCTGTATGAGTACGTGTGAATCAGTACCTACATACAGACGGTATACGTTTCCTGTGCCCGGCGGCGGCGGCGACGCTACGCTACGGGTGCGTGCCTGGATCCGGCCAACCCAGCTTTTGCCGCAACCCGCCCTGCGGGCTTGCCATGATCTACTATGCATTGTCATCGGGGCCGGCAAGCGGCCAAGAGAACCAAGGGTGCCAGATGTTCCGAGGCAAAGCATGGAAGGTTGCATTGGTTCTCTCATATCCATCCATACATCCATCCCATCCCATCCCATCCCATCCTCACAGTTTGCATGCCATCCCGTCCAAAAATGTGCGTAGGTCGGGTATCTACCCAGAGGTAGGGTTACGATTAAGGGACCGGTGATGGGTAGAGATACGTAGGTATACATGATGCACCCAGGTAATATACCTAGGTACCTACGTCGCATGTATCTTCTTCAGACCCCGTCCAATTTACCAGATCTTCGATTTCGAGGCGAATCCGTCCACGACGTCTGGCCGGGAGGGTGGCCACCAGTTCCATAAATTGGCGAGCTAGGTAATATATCCCCCCCCCTCGCCCCCCTCTGTCTCCCTTCGTACTCGGGCCGTCCAATTGCCTCTCCCGGTACCCTCCCAAGATTTATTTAATGTGCATACATATGCGTGCCGGCCCGGTAGGAGGTACCTGCAAGGTAGGTACCTCTTATACGTTAATTACATGCCCCCCCCCCCCCCCCCCCGGTTTCACACCGTAAATAGGAGGAGGGTCCAGGGGAGCTATGTACCGCACATATATGCCTACCTCCTATACAAAGTAATCGCCATCGAGAAAGCGACCAAAAAAGAACCGTCTATACTTGGGTGCTCAATGTAGTAGTAGCGTAGCAGTGTTTGGGGCATGTGCGAGATGCACCCATTCAAGCATGTAGCTAGAGCGTCGATGGCCATCTGAGACCGGTATCTCGGAGCGTGAGAGGACCAGATGTGTTAGGGAAATGTGCCATGCGATCGTATCCAGCCTCGTTGCTCAAGACCGGCAGCGTCTTTTGATGTATACGGACGCGCAGTGTGCCCAGAAAAAATCGCCGAAGCCACGATTCATGTTCCACCAGGCCTTCTAGAAGATATCCCGCATCTACACTATCAAGAGGGCCAATTTATCCCGCCTTCCCAGCACGAACCCCAGGTGGATATACCAAGTACAGATCCGCCTACATCCATATAGACATGTATACCTAGGTACCTACTTATATGTACAGATGTATATAGATGGATGTCTATAAGGTTAGCAGCCCAGGTAGTTATTTTCGGCATCGCCGCCCACGCCAACTTATTTCATCAGTATTGAATTTAATACCGCTGTTCATCTTGACCGATCGAGGGGATTAGCGCTACTATGTGTATACCTTAGGCATCTTTCTCGTCGTCTCGCCCCCTGCGGGTGTCAAAAGACCGCCTAGAGCGAGTTCACTGCATGGTATGCGATGTAATTGTGCTTGGCTATACTATATATCTCGTCCGACCGACTGCTATTCAACGCAAACGGCGGTCCTCGTCATTACTGCTGCGCTATTACGGCGGCTAACGGCGGTCTCGAGAGTGAGGGATATAAATATATTTCAAGGAGGTTCAGGCCGAAGTGCGTTTATCGGTTGGAACGCGGCCCCCCTTCCCCCCCACAACCGGCATGTCACAGCATTGGATATTTTCTACGTCGTATAAATCAGTCCAGTATTTCTCAGCAGTATCAGGTTGGCGATACCCTCGCCGCGTGAGCTTGTACATTCGGTCGACAACATCGGTATAGGGATTTGATTCTCCGGTACACATCGTGGAGGACTAAGCCACTGTATGTCCGAACACACGGAGTAAAAGCTCTGTAAGGCGGGCAGGCAACCTTCTTGCCGCTCGCTCCGATGCTCCAGGCGACGGAGTCAGGTGGTTGAGTTGATCCTACCCTCCAGTTATGGGACTACCGCGATACCCATTGATTTGGTTTGGTATATGATGGACCTGCAGAGTCCCTCGAGGGAGAGGCCAGAAAGTCGCAGCTCCGATTGTTTTATCTTCGCAATTTCGTAGACGTGTTTTAAGCTCACCGTGCCGACTATTTCATGGCCAGGTCGGCTCGCGCCTTTCTTCTTCCCCGTCTTGCCGGGAGCCAAGTCTGCTGCGTTCCGCAGGAGCCAGGACGTCTGGGGTGTTCGGACATCGAAAGAGAACGACCGGTCTGCGCGTACCGTCACTCGAGTTGGCATCGGCGTCCCCGGTATGATATGTGCTGTCCGCGCGTTGAACTCCTGCACGGGATACGGCTGTCAATTCAAGCGCATCGGTTTCCCTTTTTGTTTCTCACAAAAGAATAGGGTGGTTACCTTACAAAAGTCCATAGACTTAACACCTTTGCTTCCGAGCGCGGGACCGACCGGTGGACTCGGGGTGGCCTTGCCCGCGCCCACAATGAGCTTCACGACCTGGTCGGCGCCAATGGCTGACCGCGCCGCCTTAGACATCTTGTAGCGATTTGCTGTGTATTAGAAGGGGCAATGTGCGATAGAGACTTGCTGGGCTGGTCGACGTGGTCTTTGAAAAAATGAAAAAAAAAAAAAAAAAAAGATCCACTTTGAGCCACAGCGACCCCCACATTCGACTCTGCGCCACAGCCTCGGCCAGACCTGCGCCTCACCAGCGTGCCTCATAACTTGGAGGTACCTACTGCTGCACCTGTGACGGCCGGCCTACCGGGGCCGAAGTTCCCAAATTGATGCAGATATAAAACGCAAGGTAAGCTACCTAGGGTATACCGAAGTGCATAGGTATCCGGTAGGCCCTTTGGTGCCTATTGTGTCTGGATTGATTGATAGGTAGGTACCTACCTTAGGTACCTACCAACACAACCATCCCTGCCATGAACCCCGACGTATATGAGTAGAGCGGTCACTATCAGGCCAATAGACGTTCAGCATGTGGGAATCATTACCCCAAATGGATTCCGTCCAGCCAATTAGCATCGGCCTTCGCTAACATTGCCTTACATAATGCGACAATGCGACACGTTGTACGAGGTACCTGCGTACCCTATGTGATTCGAGGAAGATGCGGATCTACGGATAATCACGGTGGAAAGCTTGAGCTTCCCTCGTTCCCGCGCTTCTCATAACTTCCAATACCACACGACCACTCTTCTCTCTCCCTTTTGAATGAACCCATCTACCGAAAATCTCCTCGTCTTGTGCTATCCACCTTTGTTTTCCATCTACCTTGACACTATTGACCGGGTGCTTTCGTTCCCCCCACCACGTTAATCATGTTCAACTGGGCAAAGCAAACGTCAGCAGCATATCTCCTCTAGTCTTTCCCGTCCCCTGTGTTTAGCTAACGGGATCTCCTAGTTTGGCGAATGTCGTGGGCACGGAAGAGCCCTTGTACGGGCCTTCGGCCATCAAGTCTGTTGCCGAAGATGCGAAGACGACGCCGTACACGGAGCTGAAGAGGGAGGATCTCAGATGGGCGGCGATGGACTCGACCTGCGTCGAGACCCAGAGCTTCTACTTCATGTCTGACAGCGGCAATCTTGCCTTTACCCAGGTCATCTATAGCAACGTGGCGTATGCGCTTTCAGCTGTCCAGTCGCGGCGCAAGTTGGCTGACTCTCTGTGAAGCGGCATTCGCACAACTTGCCAGTTCAACTCGAAGATCTTCTATCCCGACGGCTCCAAGCCCCACCTGTGGAGCTCAACCCCCTTGAGCAACATCGAGTTCAGTGATGACAAGAACAACTTCTATGCCAAAGACTGCGCCTTAGAGCTGTCCGAAGACGGAAATACATATACTATTAAGTCGATGAATGATCCGCAGGCCATCGTTAACCTCAAGTTGACGAAGATAGCACCGGGCTTTGTCGCTGGAAAGGACGGCAAGACTCTATTTGGCACAGACCTAGCCAACCCGTGGGGATCTATGCGGCACGCGTTCTGGCCGAGATGCGTAGCGGAAGGCAGTATCATGACGAAGGATGGCCCGGTTGACTTCAACGGCAGGGCGTTCTTTGTCCATGCCCTGCAAGGCATGAAGCCCCATCATGCGGCAGCTCGGTGGAATTTTTGCGATTTCCAGGGACCGACCCACTCCGCCATCTTGATGGAGTACACGACGCCACCATCCTATGGAGCAACCGTGGTGGGCGTTGGTGGACTCGCTAAGGAGGGCAATGTCATCGCTGCCGGATGTATATGCAGTGCCACCCATCTCAAGACCAAGCAAGACTCCGAGAATGACTGGCCTGAACCCACCGAAATCAAGTTCACTTGGTCCGGGACTACTAAAGATGGAAAACCCGTCGAGGCAGTCATAGAAGGCTCTCTAGGGGATAGGATTGACCGGATCGATGTCATGGCCGAGGTCCCAGGCTTTGTCAAGAAGATCGTGGCTGGGGCGGCAGGAACTAAGCCCTACATATACCAGGTATGCCGAAGCCCACCATGACGTGATATGTGCTCTTTTCTAACCGAGCCGGCAGTTTGCTCCGCACGGCACCCCAGTCGTGCTCAAACTCAAGATTGGGGACGAAGAGATCTCTGAGGAGGGACGGCTGTTTAGCGAAGCAACCTTCATATCTGCTATAGAGTGACGGAGTTGCGCTTTTTCTCCAAGATAGCGCGAGTGCCAGCACCAACGGACGCCCAGAATGGAGTAGACGAGGGGTAGATGTTGTCTACACGTACCCAGTTAAAGCGCAGTCGGCCACCTCGAGAAAAACAAGGTGGCCAGCGTTTGGTACCGCACTCGGCCTCTTGGCAATTCCCGGCTTGGATATCACAGCCGAACTTCTCTCGGGCGCATATACTCTGGTGTTTATACACCAAGGCTCATGGTGGCTTGCCATGGTAAAGCCAGTTGGGTTTGGTAACTTGGATGTTAAACTTTATATTCCTATCTTAATGAACTAGATATCAAGACTATATAAATCTAATACAATCGTTAACCTACGCCGCCTAGGGTTGCCAGATTCATGCCGTAGCATGCGTAGGATAAGTTCCTATACAAACAGAGATTCCGTTGCTTCTGATACCAAGTAGGAGGTATATCAAGTCGGTTATAGGTACCTACCTCGTCATGTCCATGTTGATACCAGGTAGGTACCTAGGTATCTATATACCAGCCCTAGGACAGGTGCCTGATTCCAGACTGTCAAGGAGCATATAGTACCTGTACTACGTACAGCTGCATAGACGAGGCAGGCGGGTAGGCACCTATGTGAGAGACAGGCAAGGATTGATACCTTATGATGATGAGGTACCTAGGTATCTGCTACTTCAAGCGGAGCTAAGGGTACCTTAGGTACTTAGGCACCTAAGGTAAGTCCTACACCCATTCATGGATAACTCGCGATAGATAAGGAAATGTACTGGGTTCAAAATGACGTTTATCTTATCGAACAGCGCGTCTCTTGGTATGAGGGCAGGTACCCAGGAGGTAGCATCTACAGGTCTCGAGTACGTGTAGGTTCAGGTTCAGCGCGTCTTGAGCTCAACCTCTCTAACCCAAACCCTGCCCAATAAGCGCCGGCTACTAGATGCCAACCCCACATTAACCTCCAAGCCATTTTGTCTCAGTTCTGCTATCTGCTATCCGACCCTCCCTCCATCAACCATCCTCTCTCCAACCCATTCCATTCCCTCGTTCACTCCATCTGTTCGTCCGTCCCATCCTCCTCATTCACATTTAGGTTCGACGTATAGCAAGACCCAGCAGCCTCGTTTCGTCCCCTCCTAGGCTTCCTGTCGACACGGTGTTGAGGCTCCGATTTTCGGTCGCTACGATCCGCGGATTACTACAGCTACCCATTACCACACCTGCACGCGTTGTCATCATGCCGGGCCAATACAATCCTCGAAGTGGAAAGGGAGGAAAGGGCCTTGGCGGCAAGGGCCTCGGCGGCAAAGGTGTAAGTTGACATCCCGTTGTCATGTTGTCTTGCCAGACGGCAATGTGCCTGTCGTTACGCGGAATAGCCCGACCCCGTTCCTGGTGTTGTGTCTCACATGGCTTCGTTTTACCTCGCCCTGCCTTACCAGACAGAAGCTTGACGTAGCTATATTGTGGGACATTGTGCTTGCCGCACACCCTCCTCCTCTGCACTCCTCCTTTGCATCTTAAGCATTTTCCTCTCTAACCTTATGTTCCATACCGCAGGGAATCAAACGTCATCGGTAAATCTCCATCCTGACATGCTACATGCATGGAATCCCATCATCACCGTTACAGTTACCAATAACCGGTGCACAGCAAAATTCTTCGGGACAATATTCAGGGCATCAGTAAGTTGCGGTCTCTCCAGTTGCACACATTCAATAATCTCTGGGCTGGGACAAAACACAGTGCCACCACTGCTCTTTGATTTCGGACAGTTCTAATCCTATGTTTATAGCAAAGCCCTCCATCCGGTACGTGACGTCTTCGCGTTTCGGTTTATACTTCTGGAGCCTATACCTATATCCCCTCTCTTTCCCTACGTACTTATACCCACCTAACACCTTTACCCGCCCTCGCCGCCTTCATTGCCGATGCTATTATATAACCTATTGAATCTAACCAACATGCCAATCTCTCGCCCTTTTCCAGACGTCTCGCCCGACGAGGTGGCGTCAAACGCATATCTGCCAGCATCTACGATGAGGTGCGCTCCGCCTTGAAGGGCCGCCTTGAGGAGGTACGCAGCATACCCCAGATTCCTATGAAGACAATGCCATAAAAAGAGACGAGGAAGGGGAAACATGGGCCGGCCCAGGTCACATAAGGGCACACGCCCGCAGCACCCAGGCTAACTTGAGATCCTTCGTTTCCCCTGCACAACAGATCATTAGGGACTGTGTGGCCTACACAGAGTACCGCCAGCGAAAAACGGTCACTATCAACGATGTAAGCAAGCCCACTGTCCATTCACCCCTTACCATGTTACGGCAGCCGCAGAAGCAGCTAGTCAATCTAGCCCCCGGCAAAGTCCTACGCACCGAGTATCTAAGTTGCTAACCATGAGCCATCCCCTCTCCCGTCTCTAGGTCCTGCACGCCCTGAAGCGACTTGGCCGCCCCATCTACGGCTTCGACGATGACGTTCCCGCTAAGCTTGCGAATGGAAGTCACCGCGATAACAAATCCCACTCCTCCCGATACTAGTCTTTGGGGGGGTTGAAGAGAACAAGCATGATTGGTGGAAGCTTGGTAGGAGAAGGGAGACACATGTTAGTTGCACATCATGTGCACGAAGGACGGTTTCGGTGCCGTTATGCCTTGTAGACATGGCCGGAGTACACAATGTGTGACTCGTGCGAGATGATAATGATACCCAATTGCTTTGCTACCACCTGATACTCGAGAAAACGTGCCCGGGAAAGCTCTTTCGTAACATCGTTATCTATCCGGAGCCTACTCTATCCGTCTCTAATCCTAGGTAGGTATAATGCTCCTGAAAAACGAATGAACTGGGGAAAGGGGGGGTATTAGATATAAGGCAGCGTAGGTAAACCAGGCAAGATAGTCGTAGCTGCATCCGATACCATAAACCGTCACCACCAACGAACGCCCATCAACCAATCAAGACCAAACCCCGCCCAGCCGTCCTTTACTCTGCCAGCCCGCCAGAAGGCGGCGCCGCGCTATACCTTTCGCCTGCGTCTGCTGCCTTCCCAATCGGCGAGGACCCTCTCGAGCGTCTTGGCGGCGCGCTGCTCGTTCCGGCGGGCCGGGCCGTTGAAGGCCTCGGGGAGGACGGGGGCGCTGTTGGCGTGCTCGCGCGCGAAGCCGACCTCGGCGTCGCGGCCGCACCGCTCGCGCGTCGTGCGGATGGCCTCGTGGAGCATGTCGACGCCGAGGCGCTGGCCGCGGTAGCGCAGCTTGACGGTCCAGGCGCGTATGACGCCCTTGCCGCCGCGGAGGGCGGCGGCGCGGCCGCGCTTCTTGCCGGTCGGGCTCGCGTGCGGCGGCGGCTCGAGCCGCAGCACGAGGGCGCCGATCAGGTCGCGCCCGAAGCGGACGCCGATGACGGTGTCGGGCTCCCCGTCCTCGGACGCCAGCCAGCTCCACCGCATGTCCTCGGCCACGCGGATGTACTGGGCCGTGACGTAGCGGATGCTGAGCAGGTAGATCATGACCACGCCCGCGTGCAGCATCAGCGCGGTGCCGAGGTCGCGTCGCACGCGCCACGAGTACTGATACGCGGCACCGAGGCCCGCTGCTAGCACGGCTAGTAGGTAGGGGTGGAATATTAAGTGATACGAGGACGACTGCCGCTGCTGGGCTATCGAGTCTGCCACCAGGTTCAACGCATCCACCTTGTCGGCTTCGTCGCTCAAGACGCCGACGTACAGGGGGGGTAAGTCGTCGGGTACCGGATTGTTTGGCGGATCAACCGTCGCGAGCGGCGACGGGGAAGGAGGAGGGAGTGCGTGTGACGATGCCGGCACCATGTCCGGCGTTGACATGGCCGAAGGGTTGGCAACGAGATTTGCTCGCAGAAAGAGAAAGAAGGCTGTTCGCGGATAGTTGCCAATCAGCCCTGTCAGAGGCAAAAGGAAATTGGTCTCTTTCTCCGAGTCGAATACTCGAGTGTATGGCTCCTCGACTGCTTGAATCCAAGAGGCAAAGTAGAGAAGTAGGTTATCTTTATAAACGAGATCACACCTTGTTACTCATGTCGACGGACAGCATTGCGACGACAAGGTTCAACCACGGCTTTCGATGCGGCTACTTTCTCAAGGAGAGGGAGCACACGACCATCGACAACCTATTATGATGACGCGCAAGGAAAAGGCTATATCCTCTACTCACCGGTGCTAGTCTTTAAGCCCGGCACCACGTTCATTCTGTCCATGATGGTGCTGGGTCCATAATAGGCATTCAGATCTAGCTCTCGCGCCACGTGCGCCATCTCGACGTTCCGTGTGGATAGTCAGCCCTGAGGCTCAGGAGAGGGGCGGGCAATCAAATTTATTCCGGCCCTGTTGCAGCGAAAATAAATATATGGATGTTCCCTCTCGCACGGCAATTGAAACGCCGTAAATTGGGTGTACCGACAGCTTGGGACTCCAAGAGGTCTTGGGGTGCTTTTGGACCCTGGAAAAAGAGAATGTCTCCGAGAAAAAAAAAAAAGGCTTGATCGCTAGGTTCCGAGCTTGGACAGCTCAGAGAGGGAACCGATCCGATGACGACAAACCGGAGGCGACAACAGATTGGGTTTAAAAAAATTAATGCGGAAACCAAGGTTGAAGGTAAGTAAAAAGATAATAGGACGGGAGGGAAAAAGACGGGGACGAAGCGTCAAGAAATAACAGCAATCGAAGGGCCGGCCTTGGCTGCAGTGCCTGGTATGGGCTGTCGCAAGACGGGAGAGATCGCAGATAAACCAACAGCCGTATCCGTTTCCCTATATAAGCACGACTGCATTGATTGATGACATCGTCCCGCGGGGAACGTTGGCTCCCAGCCGATCAGTCGGTGGTTATCAGATAAGGGAGTGTGGGCAGACGAATAAGATCGCCGATAAAGGGACTACAACCGGCGCCACCACACTCTTGTTGCAGACCAAGGTCCTGTCTACGCTATCATCGTCGTCTTGGGTCACAGTCCTCGTGAGATGGCGCGGCCCAAAGCTCTGGGTCGTGAGTGGTTTTCTCCCCCCCCTCTCCCCCTCTCCCCCTCTCCCCCCCTCCCCATGTTATATACACTTCCTCTCGAGACGAGCCGACGACACTAGTGGGTCTAGACCGTGCCAACCATCTCCAGGTGGGTTTGAGCTGGTTCGTGTGGCAGTTGCCTTATGCCCACCCGCGTTCCTAGCAGCCGGCTAGGGCCCCATGTGTCTCGAGTTATCGACGTCTCGTCGATCTCGCTTCTGAGCACGGACGGGGATACGGAGGGGAAGTGAGGGGGAGAAGGGCGTCGATGGTCAAGACGACCGTCGGTCCGTACGCCAATAGTTGATTCGAAAAACCCGACCAAGGTTGTCTGGATCTGCTTAGTTCGCGGGGAGGGGGAGCTCGGGATAGCGAATAGAGGACCTCCCATGACCTCTTTGTGATCCAGTATCCCGTGATGCCAAGGCCCAATGCCCAGGCCAGAGTTGACAACCCGTCCGATAGAAATGGGGGTTGATCCTAGCACGGGCACAGCATGCCCAGATGAGCTCAGACGTGCATCTCTTGAAACGTAGAACGCGTAAGGATGATCTGTTTTTTTTTGTAAGGGGCGATTGCATATTGACTTACGACCGCCCAAGGCCAACAGAGCCGCGGTCTCTGCCTGGGGGGGGCCTCCCCCCGACAGTGCGTCATCATCACCAATCCGCTTTTAGAAAATTGCGCAATCGGAGTCGAAAAAACGTCGATAGGAATACTACGTGCTCAACAGCCGGACCCTGCGATAAGGAATATCCGTTGAAGAGACGGGATCCGTCGCATATCTATGCAGGTAGGTACCTTATCTAGGTATCTGTGTTTTGGATGTCTTGGAGAGGCGAGGATAGGATGCGGGATCCTATTCGAAATCCAACCGGACATGGAATTAGGTATAGAATCTCGCTCGCCCTTCGGTAACACGACAGCAGATCAAGCCACGTTCACGGTGTAGATGGGGGGGGGGGGGGGGGTAGAAGGGGCGGAGCGAATGTGAGCCACAGAGCTTTTGGGTGGCCTGAGGATGGATGTCGTCTTTCCTTGGGGGGAGGGGACCGGAAAGGACGTACGGCTAGAGAGAGGCAGAAGGAGGGCGAGAGAGAGAGACAGAGGGAGACAGAGGGAGACAGAGGGAGACAGAGGGAGACAGAGGGAGACAGAGGGACGGAGGGACGGAGGGAAAAGGGGGGGGGGGGGGGGTGACGCGGAAGGCGGTAGAGAGAAGAGCTGTCCGTGCTTACTAACGATATCTTACCACGGATCAATAAATCAGTCATTACACGTGGAGGTATTACCTGCATGTAGGTAGGTAGGACGCCAGCCCATGCCTTGGGTGTCCGGGTCTACTCATATAGAACTCATCCCACCCGGCTACGTGTATCGACGGACGGAGGGGCGGAGCGCTGTAGACTGGAAGAAACCCGGGCCATACTCGCCCAGGTGCCCGACCTGATATAGGGGCCTACACCGACACGCAGAAGATGGACATGAGGTGTAGGTACCTATTTAGGCGGTAGAGGTACCTACGTGTGTAAGCAGATTGGGTGGGTGTACCTTGAGTACCTCTTTAGGACGTGGGGTAGGCAATGGTCAGTCCTGATATTGAGGCGGGCAGGCAGGTAGTCACCTAGGGTAAGTACCTAAGGTAAGAGGTACCTAGGAGGTAGGTACGTAGGTACGTAGTTGGACGAGGTGTCTAACGTAGTAGACTGTGGTATGCAAGTACAAGCAGGTACTTCCAGCAGATCCCAGCCTGCGCCGACGACGTCCCCAGTTACATCATAATGGCAGCCATGCGCATGGAGAAGGAATACCTGATGGCGAATCGTGTGCGGAGGGATGGATCCATCGAAGGGTTGGCGCAGGGCGTGGCCAGTCCCAGCTTCCCAGGGAAGTTTATGCCCATAACAAGGCGCGCTCTGCATGCCAAAGCCCGGGTACGTACCCAAAGTCCTATAGATACCTCCTCCTGTACCTCCATGCCCTAAGCACCTAGGTAGGTAGGCAGGTACCTACCTAAGTACCTAACTATGTAAGGTACCTGGACTAAAAGTCCTACCGATTACATAACTGCCTCGCTGCCTCCCAATGCCCCCGTCGACGACTTCTTCCTTCGGGAGAACATCCATGCAGCATGCCGAGTGACACGCTCCTTGTCCTGTTAATCATCAGGATCAGACCAGCCCGACTTTTCCTACCTGGCACGCCGGTGGGAGACCAAGACACCATCATCCGTCGCCGATGCCGTTAGCGATAATCCTCACCTCAACCTTAGATCTACGTATTGATCACTCGCCTAGCTTACACGCGGGAAAGCATTTGAAGGTAGACTGGCTGCGTTGGGGCTCGAGGAAACGAGGCCTCGTTGGATTAGATTCGACTATAATCACATAGTTACACATACGCGCACCCCTTCTCTCCACCTAACTAGCATACCTATACGTTGTTGTATCGCTATCCCCCCTTGTCCCTCTTCCTCTTTCCTTCCTGCTTCTCTCTAATAAAAAAAACTAATAAATAAAAACTTGGTCAACGTGTTCGTTTTGCAGGGCTGAACATGGCTGCTCACCCGGTTCCGAAGGAGTGCTGATGCTTCTGACCTTTACCCCAGAGCTGACACAGAAGCCAAGCCTCGCACTCATCATAGAAATGACACGAACATCGCAAAGTGGTCTGTCTTACGGCTGGGATGCTGTGGCGATGCCACCGCTGGCTTCGAGTCAAAGCTGGCAAGCCGCCTTTGTGAGAGAGAAGGGGGGAGGGGAGGGAGACAGAGAGCCCGATGGATATAGGCGTGTCCGAGATCTGTTGGCATCGCCATACGTCCAGATCCGAGGGCTTCGTGACGGGACTCGCCAATCGAGCTCGGGGGTGCGAGTAGCGTCGAGCTCTGGTTATATCTCTTCGCGGTCCTCTCCTTTCGCCCACTGTGCCTCTGATTGGGTAGCTCCCGAGTCCTGCAGTCAGCAGAGCGATTCCTACTCAGCTGGCTCGCCCACCAGCACACAAGGCGTAATTTGGGGTCCATTCTGCCTTGTTGCCTGCGTACTTCACCGAGTCGGCTTTTGGACCCCAACTCCATCGCTTGCCCTCTTATGCAGCCCTGTGAGCCGCGAACGGTGAGTTAAACGCACTGCCGATTAGCACTGTCAGGGGGATCTGTGGAGGGAGCCGGTCCGCTGTTCTTCAATGGCTGGAGTCCGTCTAGGTCTGCGGTCGTTGCCGCTGGTCCTAGGGTACAAGTACTTCTGCACCTGCATCGCTCTAGGAGTCCTACCTTTCCATCTTCGAGGCGGTAGACCATTTTCTCAGACCCTTCAAAATAAGGTCATGGATCGGTGGCGATCCGCTTGGCCCCGACATCCCACCTTTCATTCGAGTCTCGTTAGCCTGTAGCCCAGACCTCGCCTTAGCGTGATGGAACCGATGAAGAAGCGAAACAGCCCTCCCGCCGCCGAGTTGTCGTCTCTCGACGCCGCTTCATTAGATCTAGAGTCGCCGGTCGGGCCGCACGCCATGCCTCCTCCGGACCCTCCTCTCGACTCGAGACGACGATCGCAATCCAACCCAGAGTCGGAATCGGGTCCCCAAGCGCCCTCGCCATGCGCGTGAGTAGCACGTGGATCTTACAGTAGAGAGCTCTGTGAATATACTAACTCGACAAGGACTCGAGAGGCTCCGGAGGAGGGTTGTGCATTCCAGAGGTTTATAGTGTGGGCAGCCGTCAAGCGAAACAAGTCCGTTCGGATGGTTGCGAGCGAACGCCTGAAATGCCCTCTCGTTCTGTGTGGGGAGCGGTTCGACGACCATGAAACGATGCTGAGCCATCTGACTAAGTGCCAACATCTCAGGACGGGTGAATATGTATGCTATGACTGCATGAAAATCGAACGGTTCAACGATAGCAAGTGTAGGTGCTGCCTAGGACATCCCACTAAGCGACGACGGATTATCAACATGGCGAAAACCCTGTTCTCGAATATTGGAAGCAGGTCGCGAGGAAACGAGCTTCGCCTGGACATTCGGGGAGAGTTCACTATGCCTCCGCCTAGTTACGAATCTCTCATGGCGGGTGTGGGAGGGCTTGAGCGACAACGATGTGGGGAACAGCAACGGCAGCACCAGCAGGAAGAGCAGCAGCCGCAGCCACAGATCCAACCACAGCTAGAACTAAATGGCAGGGAGATACACGAGCTGGACTCGAGACAAATGGCCGAACTGGGTTCGATCAACTACGACACGCAGTCTATAGGCATGCCCATGGCTTTAGACCAGTGTGATACTACCTCCGAAACTACTGCGCGCCCGCATACGAATCTCTGCTCGAATCCTGGAGAGGACGACGTTCCGAATCTTGACGAGGGCACTTCCCTTCCGTCGGCTACACCGATGTATTCAAGCCCGGGCGCTCGTCGTCCATCGTTGGCCGTCAATACCCGTATGGACCACTACAGGAATGTTTCCCGCACGAAATACCTTTCGCCCAGTTCTTCTCTTCGATCGACGACCTCTCAGAACGTATCGCCGGTGACTCCGTGGAGCGCGAATTCAGGGGTCTCTGGAGCTTATACTCTAAGCTCTACGATCGACACAGAAATAACATCGCCGATAACGCCCGTCAGCCCTTATGAGCTCCCGCCGCTACCACAGCACGAAGACATCCTTGCCATAGCGAAATCTACGACCTCGTGCCCAAACAACAATTATAATTACACAACAGACAGTATTCCCGAATTGCCAGGTGATGACCCGCGATCCATACCACGAGGGCTAGCCGACCTACTATTCTTCTCCCTCGATCCTAAGGATAACTATTCGTGGATGGAATCCGTCAGCACAGAGCTGTCGCTGGCCACCTCCGTCAATATGATGTTCGCAGGGTCCGAGCCCAAGTCTACCACTATACAGCCTGGGTTCCTCGAGCCGCTAGTTCCCGGATCTGGGGCAAGGACATTGGTAGAGTCGGCTTGGGACGCCCTGCAGGAACATGTCACGTCTTCGGTGGGAAAGTTAGACCATATCAAGGGAAATCCACTAGCCGAGCGAATCCGGACACAATCCTCGAAAGCTATAGCATTCAGCGGTCTCTCGAGCCTCAAAGGCATGCTTCAGGACAATATCCCAACAGACCCCTTCGATTTGTTATGTTTTGTTCATCTGATCTATGCCTTTTCTCTTGTGGTTCACGAAGACGAGCCTTTGGCTCGTTGTAACCTACTATACCAACAAGCTCTCGGTTACCGGCGCTTCCTCGATCCCGTTCACATTACAGATTACACCGATATCGTCAAGGTCATATGGCAGCCAACGCCAGATGGACGACATCAACCCCAAGCGGGATCTTCACAACATGCTGATCTTCATTATAAAGGTAAGGAGCGCGAGGGCCAGCCAGACTCGGGAATACGCGCAGGATCCGACCCCCTTGTCATAGCAGGGCAGGATTTTCTAGACGGTGAGCCAGAAATTCCGCCAGAGCCTATATATGTTTCAGCTAACCGCAGTAGATCTCGAACATGTCGTCATAACGAGCGATTCGCAGAAGCCTGAAGAAGTCCTCACATCTGAGCTTTGGTCTACTCACATTGTGGAATTCCAACCGGGAGTTCTACACAACGACCCATTTTCAATAGCAGTCGATTATATTATCGGAGATTTAGTTTCGACGTTCCACGATTCTGAAATCCTCCTCTCCAAACTCAGAGAGGTTGGGCAAAAAGTTCGGGACGGGTACATAACGACAGTTCGCAAGTTCGAGCTCTCAATACTGCAGACTGGCAAGGTGAGTAAATATATGCCTATGTTGCAGTTTCATATCCCCGGTTACCACCCTTCATATTGAATCCACAGAGGTTGAGCATGGGAATCAAATGAACCGAAACAAAAATATGGAAAGCAATGCTAGCGCTCACCGAATCCTTACAATCAATCTATGGGCCGATATACCTTGTCCGTAATTAGCTAACTTTGTGGCGTGGTAGCACTGCTTGACCTCTTCTGACCTCTTCGACGACTTTATCCCACGAGTTAGAAGACTCTGCAACCCCATATACTCGGAACAAGGGACACACTCAAGGATACGGTACCAACTTTTGGGCGTTTCTTTGGTAGAGGCTCTGATTCAAGCTATCCCATCTAGCCCACAAGAATCAGCTTCGTTTCCGTACAACGAGTTTCTAGAAACCCTACACGATACTTTCGACAATAACCCCGATTTTCTTGAAACCTTAGACGCTGTCGCTCCCCCACAGAACCAGGCGGAACTAGAGGCTGCTCAGAGTTTCGGCACGACAGGAATACCTTTCCCACACATAGGCTCTAGCGCACCAGCATCGACTACTGCCTCCAGATCTTTGACCACGACTGCTTCCCATGTTGGGACGCCCAACGAGTCATTCTCCGCCTCTCCCGATCTCTCCCGACCAATCGCCCTCGCTACCTCGCCGAAACCTCCAACTCCGGCTCACGCTGAAGCTAGCGAGAAACAATTCTCCTCTAGCCAGAAAGTGGAAGCAAACGATGCTTGCGAGTTCTGCGGGTATCGTCCGAAAGGCGATCCACAATGGTTTAAGGGCAGCATGGCCAAACACAAGAAGATGCAGCATTCAGCAGGGCCGCCGGTGATCTACAAGTGTCCCTATCCCGGTTGCAACAGCCAGTATAAGAACCGCCAGGATAATCTACGCCAACATCAGATTGAAAAGAATCACTTCGTCGGGGATGAAGCGACCCGGAGACCCAGCAAGAGGAAGAAAGTCTCGGTCAATTAAAAATGACAATAGACCGCGGATTAAAGCAGAGAAATCGAGCATATAGTACACGCGAGGACATTTGCATTAGTTGGGCGTTAGGTAAGTGTATATCCATGGGTGGCCTCCTCCTTCATTGCCCGCCAGGTGCCTTCATTGGATACATTCCACCGTACGGGAGTTCTGTATGGGGTCTCTGGAGATACCACTCTGTTTGTTATAGACATAGAAACCAAGCTTGAAGGCTCCCTTACACCAACGGACTACTGTGCCTGGACAGGTAATATGACAAATGCCTTGTAGACCAGGGGTATTGGGGTATCTTTATTGGAAACCCCTTGTCTTGGGGTTCCCGCGCCCACGCCCTGGAATTCTCGAGCAGCTGGCAAAGTGTCGCTCAGAGACTTCGGCGACCCCAGCATCAGGAATCGAGCCGCTCACTCCTCCCAGCCTGCTCTATCGCCTTGAGGGTTCAAAGGCTTATTCTTTAAGAACAAAAACATCATGAATGATTATTTTGTGGTTTCATTACAGGCATGATAAGCCATATTACCAAATTACCCTGCCCTGTGCCGCGAGGAGGGAGGCAGAGCAGGAGGACGGGAGCTGGCAAACCAGCCGGGGGAGAGTCCAACGACGTCCAGATGCAACCTGTCATCAACATAAGGTGTTCGCAGTATTTACAGATCCTGGAGGGAGCCTATCCCGCTTACGCAGGCCGGTACAAGGTAACGAGAATGTAAGCCCCTGCATCCTTGTTTTTCAACCCTCCGGTCCAACAGGGATATACGATCCAATCAGTCAATCTATATGCGTAGGCAGAGCGCGATACGGCACACGCATATCGATATCAGAATGCCAGTGAATCGGGGACAAGGAGGCATCGGATCAGCCTTACGAGGGAACGGAAGGGAGGGGGGGGGGGGGGGGGAACACGGGACAGGCATATATTCCTGAAGGAATGCCCCCCCTCGCATTTCACGATACTACCCGCGCCAACTATGTACATATTTCCTTGTTTAGATGCTCATCTTCCGCCCAACATGCATAGCAAAGTGGTACATATGCGCGCTGTATTATGCGATCCCATCCATCTGATCGGCAACTCTCAGCCTAGCCGAGCCTGGTGCATGACTTTACCAACCAACAGGAACTATCAGCTACCTACCTAATCCATCCAAGCACCTACATACCACGTATGCAAGAGATTACCCATGTATACGGAAGTCCAGCCCTACCAGCAGGACCTAACCCGACATAGGTAGGTTACTTGGCTACCGAATGCACCGCAACCCGACGATGACTTACGCTGCTCGCCAGCAAGGCAATTAATGGGGGAGAGAGGTCCGCGTAGGGTATGTGCCTATCTCATCTCAACACCCGATTTACGGGGTCGGAGCCTGTGTGCACATACCCACCGTCCGTGATACGTATAGTTGTTGATGAAATGTGTTAGCGTGTACCTAGCGGGGCTGAGCTCCTCGGGGGATCCAACGGATGGCACGTATTCGAGAAGACGCAGGGCTCTTTACATAGGTGGGTGCTTAGCATTTCTCCGGCCCCCTCTCCCTCCTCCCCTTTCCAGACCGAGGAGGAATCCGGAGGGTTGGAGAAAACACCCGGCACTGGTTGGGCAGAGATGAGAGACAAGGGGAGAGTCATGAGGAAGGATGGTAATACGGGTAATACCAGGCTCCCCCGGTCCCCCCCCCAGCCCTACCTTATGGTGAGAGAGGACTTCACAGCCTCTCTAGCGTCGAAGCCCACCATGCCAGAACGTAAGCCGCCTTCTCTCGCTGGTGGCAGGACGTTTGGATTCTCGTCAATTACCTACAGGTGCCGTATGCCGGCCTCGGGTATATATCCTCTAAACGCCGCCTCATGATGTTCTCGTACACACATAGGATAAAGTTCTCCCGCCCGTCATTCAATCAATACTCAGCCAAGGAAAGCTAAAAATCGCAGGCGCACTCAACGTAGATGGAGGGCTCGATTCCTAATTACTCTCTGGAACCGCCCCTCGACGACGACCTAAGTTCTCGATACCTCTCTGAAGCAGCTCCATCCTCTCAGAGGGAGACAAAGAAAGAAAGAAAGCAAATGGTGGTGGGGAGAGAGTATCGGCAGCCTATCGTAGCTGTGCTCGTGGGAGTCATGCAGCCACGTTGTAGGCAGACGCGAGTACCCTAAAGCCATTCTATGACACTCCCCTGCCATATGTAAGGGTCTGGGTGCACTCGAATCAAAGGATCTGCCGCTCGTTCGTTAGCCTCCAGGGATTCGGGGGGAGGGGCTGCTTTGGGGGCCTACTTCGGAATCCGACCCTGTAGGCGCAATCGAAGTCGAGGACCCAGTGCTCCCACTGGATCAGGCCCGGCCTCAAGCCGTGCCTGAACTCGAAGCAACTGAACTGAGAGGCTGTCAGCTACGACGGTGATGCGGATACTGCCGCGAGACAGGCGCTGCTTACCCTCTCCACGATCTCTTCGTAGTCCTCGAGCTCGTAGAACCATATGTTGGGCCTCGTCACGTTGGAGAGCTTGAACATGATCTTCAGCCTGACGAGGCAGTTGTGTTCGGACCAGGCCTCCAGCACGTCGCTAAGCAGCTTGATCCAGATCTTGCCGCTCCGGAAATCCGTGTTCTCGCCGAGCGAGATCTTGACCTGGACAAATCGCAGGTTCTGCAGCGTCGGCTTGCTGATGAAGTCGGTCAGGGACAGGGGCGCCGCGTTCCCCATGATCCATGGCGGGATCCGATCGATGACGAAGGGCTGGAGGTGGAGAATGCCCAGGGCCTCTCTGGTGATCTGCTTGCAGAGCAGCAGGATGGTGGGTGTGGAGAGGGGGACCTTGGCGTGGCGGCCGACATTGGCGTGGGAGCGCGGGCGCGACTCGGCCTTGGCCGTAGCCTTTTCCTCTTGATCGTAGTAGTTGTCATATAAGCTTCGGCACGTAGGGTAGCCGACGGCGTAATGATAGATGGCGTTGCGAATCTCCGGGGGGAAGCTGGCGAGGAAGGAATGGCAGGGACGACTCGGATTCGGAGGCAGCTCAGAGTGTAGGGTGGGCGTATCCAGGAGAAAGGCCGGGAGGGGTGCCCAGGCGGATCTCTGGTCGGCTTCTGGGATGTGGAGCACGGCAGGCGGTTGCGGGCCGGGGAGTGGGATCTCGGCAAGGAGCTTGGCTCGCGCGGCGGGGTTCTTCGACGCCTTCAGGATCTTGTTGCGTCCCCGATGGTGCATGACCCTCCAGTCGACGAGCTTCTTGCGGCTGTCTGGGCCGGCCATCCCGAACTCTTGCGGAGGGGCGACTCAGACGGGGGCGGGCGATCTAGGGTCGGAGTTGGCTACGAGGACAACGGCATATCACAGCGAGGACCAGGTAAGGGGTTACCTAGGCAAGGTGAGGTGACTTGGCCCCTTGCGATCGATGGTGTGATACCATCACTGCCGTACCTAAGCTTTGATAACGGGAGCGTCGACGCTCGGCGAAGCTAACCTGTGCGGTGGCGTTGATGACGCCTGACAGCTGTGGAACCCCAGATTGGCCGATCTACTCTGTGGGATGTCCACGGTGTCACTGGGCGAGGTTCGCTCGCTCGCTATGCTTGCCTGCTTTTACAGCGCCGAAACTCGGCTCGAGATAAATCGGATCCCGGTATAGTAAATTCGATAACAGGAGCGTAGAGAGAGAGGGAGAGAAAGAGAGGAGGGGGTGGTTTTTTTTCTTTCTTTTTTTGGAAAAGGAGGAGGAGAAGGAGAGGGAGAGGGAGAGAGGGCCATGCGCCCGAGGATTTCGATTGATGCCTTAAGGGGTGCAATACGAGATCTAATACTGTACGACAAGCGCGGGCATCACTGCAAAATCATCCCAATGGTCGAAAAGTTGATATCGGTTTCGCTGCTAGACTCTCACACGCTATTTGCTAATACCCGTCTCATGCTGCATCTCCAGCTGCACGGTCTGCTTGCCGCAGCAGCGCATCGACACAGGCACTAGCGATCCCCGATAACTGGGAGGCCGGACGAGCAGACTCTAAACCGCACTCGCCGCTAGCTCGGATTTAGACATAGGTAGCAGCAGCCTGAGAGGATTAAATGGCGTCAGTCCGGCCTCAGAAGGAGAGACGAAGGGCGAGGCGAAGGAGAGGAGCGGAGAGGGGAGAAGAGGAACAGGACCTCAACAACAGTCAAGAAGGAAACGGGTTAGCCGGGGGGGGGGAGGAGGGATATTGGGCGACCCGTTTTTCAGACTACCACCCAACTTATGCTTAATTTGAGTTAAGATACTTCCTAGCGTCTATAGAAGTACAGGGCCGGCCGGCCTGCTTGGTCTGTCCGGGTTGGATCCTCGCCGATCTGAGGCAGGGCGAGGTCGGGCCTAGCGAGGTGATTTATGAGTATGGCAGACTTCTTCTTCCCCCCCTGCCGAAGCAGCGCTTGTTCCGGATAGTTGAACCCAACCGAACGCCTACGGTCTTCTGCTATACGCGGGAGGCAGGCGACCTGCCCGCCGTTAGGTACGTGCTCGCCAGAGAGGCCACTTCGCCTCAAAGGTAGGTGCCAACCCTGGCTTATCCGACATATACGTAGGTAGGTAGTACGTATTAGGAGATACCTAACCTACTAGATACAGGTACCTACCTACCCGTATATACCGCTGAGTTGCTATGTCAGAGCTAAGTGGGAGCCCTCCTAATTATGTAATACGTATTATGTAAGCAGCCCTTAAGAGTTAAAGTATATTTCTTAATAAGGATGCTCTAGATAGGAGGTTTTAGGAATTAAGTACGTTTTATACTTCATCTAGCTAGTAATCGAACCCAGGCACTAAAGAGGCACCTAAACTACGGGTACGCTTAGTTATTTTCTCGTTATTTTTAGCCCGTTTTAACCTCTTCGTATGAAGGGTCTTAAATAGTTCGTTTTATTCGTATAAGAGTACCCTTTGTTTCGTTATTATCTACTAAAAGGCAATACTTTAGTTCGTCGTTTTCCATTAAAAAGAGGCATTCCTAGTTCGTTTTCGGGCCTTATCTTAGGATATACTAATCCCTTCGTTACCGATACCATTTACCGGCGTAATATACCGAAGGAAGGAGAAGGTAATTCCCCTTCTCCTATATCCGACGAGCTATATATCGCTACTATTCATAACCGAAACCTAAAGCTCCTTAAAGCTTTAGCCGATTCTTTCCTTGTTATAAGGTACCCTTACCTAGCGAAGGTAATTAAGTTTTTATTAAATTCCGGAAGTCCCGAACTAAACGACCTTTTATAAGACCTTAAGAACCTAGGCGAGGTTCCTCGCGGAATATTCCCTTAGTTTTAGTTAACGTTAGAAATAGAGGTATCGGGACCTTCGAATTAAGAACGGTTAAATCTAATAATAAATCTAATATAGCTAAAATAATTTTCTTCGGCTTAGTTATCGCTATCGTTATCTTCGTTTCCCTTAAAGGAAAACGTACTACCGTTTCCTCGCTTATCTAGCTTAAGTTCGTCGTCTTCTTCGCTATTCTCCGTAATAACCGACCCTTAGGAACCTCTTTTACCGATCCCTCCGTAAGCCCTACCCGATTTAACTATATATAGTCGTTTTAACGGTAGTAAGGCCGCGTTTAGATAGCTTATACTACTTACGTAGGCCTTTAGATTAATTAGCTACCTAGTTTTACTAGCTTTTAATAAGCTTTAAGCTATAGATACTTTATATAAAGGAGAAGTAGTAGCCTTTCTAGATCGTAACTTTCGTATCCGACGAGCTTTAGACCTTACTAAGTAGGAAATAGCTACTTAAAACGATTTACTTATGGTTTAGTAGCTCTTAAGGAAGAGATTCCTATTTAAAATAGTTAATTAATCGGACCTACGAAACGAGATCGTCGATATTTCCTAAGGTTCGGAAGAATCCCTCGCCTTTTATTATATTAAGGCTTAGGACCTATTAAGGCGTACGGGATTAAGAGATTTCCCCTAAGTCTTACGCCTAAACGGAACCGATAACCTAACTATCCTCGAAACTTATATACTTAAGTCGGTAATTATACGCTTTATGGATAGCTTAAAAGATCCGGATTTAAAAAGGAAAGCCCTTAAAAAGGCCGCTTATATATTTAGAGCCTTTTAGGAGGCTTATAGTATAATATAAGGTTACTAGAAAGTCGTTAATCTTAAAAAGGAATAACTTAAGGAATAATAACTAAAGGAACGAAAGAATCTAATCGAACGTTTCATTATAAAGAAGATAGGCTTACCGGTTAAGTAAGCTATCGCTAACGAATACCTTAACTAGGTATTAGTCCTTAAGGTTACTACTATTACGACGCTACTTTAATTAATAGCCCCGCCTTTATACGTACGGGTATAGTAAACCATACCTTATTTAGCTTACCTACTATACCCTCCTTATTACCCGAATTAAGGTATATAATAGCCTTAATAGGTTCCGGGAGCCTAGCTAGCTCTACCTTAAGCTTCTAATGGTTAATAATAATAGCTTTGGTAGCATTTATAAGGATAGTAATCGTATGATAATAATAGTAACTAAGGCGCTATAAATACGCCCCGAGTAGTTCTTAATAAAAGGACGTTGAAGTATCCGATCGTTAACGGTTCGCGAGTTTTATAACGAGGAGAAAGAGTATGCTTTAAATACGGGAGCTTCGATTATATATAACCTTATAAAGCTCTCCGGGGGTAATAACTAGCCTACTAGGAATAATTAGTTCTTAAGTCGTTAATTTATCTAACTCTAAAGTAGGTAGCTAAAATAAATAAGAATCTCGATATAAAATCCGCCTAATTCTTCTACGAGTAATCTTAGGAATAGGAAGTACTAAATTAGGATACGGCTAAGTATAAGTAGGCTACGGCTAACGAATTATAGTCGACGTTTACTTTAGCTATACCTAATATTATCTTACTAGGTATTACTTTTTTAAATACCTAGTTATTACTCCTTATAGTTAAGCTAATAGGTATCGTAAAGTCGAAGGCGGCTAGCGTCGATATCTAGAATAACCTAGCTACCGAGGTACTAAAGCTCGCCTCCTTTTTAAATAAACGCCGGCATAACGGTACTATCGTAGGAGAAAACGATAACAAGACTAAAAAAAGGAAGAAGCCTCGCAAGGGCCTCTAGACTATCTACGGAAAAGAAGGAGATCCTTCCTTTAACTTTAATATATTAGCTCGTTAGATCGAAATTAAGTTAAACTTAATAGACTTATTTTAAGTATCTCCCGAATATACCAGGTAGTTTAGGTACTTCTCCATACGTAAGAACGTAAAAGTAAAAGCTAGAGCCGCACGTAAAATCGTAGCCCTTAGACCTTCGTTTTAGCCTCGTCCTTATATTCTACCTAATCCTCTACTTCCGAAGAAAGGAAAGATAATACGTTTCGCTAAACCAGAACTAGCGGTAAAGAAGGAGGATAAACCTATCGAGATAAGTAATATACCTAAATACCTACCTAGTTCTCGAAACGTAATACCCTAGGTATTAAACGTTATCCCTTATAACCCTACTACTTACTTAAATAACGTTTAAATGGATATAGATAAAGCTACCCTAGCTTTAAGAGCTATACTAATTCTAGCTAATCCATTCCTATTAAAACCGGTTAAATCCTTTTATATAAACGCCGTTTTTCGCTTTAAATAAGACGGAGAGACGCTTATGTTTTATACCTTACCCGAAAATACTACTTAAGCCGACCAAGGAAGTAATATTAACCTTATATCTAGTAAACTAATGGATTAGCTCCGTATTAAACGGAGATTCTTATACTACTTAGGTACTAGGCGTTTATTCTTACTAACCTTAAACGGTTATCGCTTAGAAGTAACGGAATTCGTTTTATTTAACGTAGGAATACAGGGGATATGGAGATCGGTATAGGCCATTATACGATCCGAATCTACGAATAACGATACCTTCTTATTACTCGGCATTCCTTAATTATAGGACGTTATAACTAAGTTCGACATTAAGGCTAGCTCCCTTACCATCGGTAATAAAGCAGCCGGTAAAGAGGTAATATCTTTTTAAAGTTCCCTCTTATAACCTTCTACTACTTATAAGATAGCCCTTAAGGCCGCCGGACCTATCGTTAACCCTATAAAGCATTTACGGGTACCTATTACTTATAAGTCGTTAACCGTAAACGACGACGACGATAATAATAATAATTCCTCTAATAAAAGCGACTTAGATAATAATAAGACGGGAAATTAAATCATTAGCTTAGACCTAAGTAAGTCCTTAAACTATATATTAAACCCGAGCATATCCCTAAACTACGAATAATAGGACCTAAACACGTCCTTAAACTACGAGCGGACCAGACCCTTACTTCCTTTAAAGCTTATATATTAAACACTCCTTAGGAGCTTTTAAACTTACCCTATCGATCTTTCTTTCCTAATGTTAACTAATTAAACTTCCATGCTTTACGAATCATAGCAACGTCGGGAAGACGCCTAGCCTTTCGTTAGATGGCTTATTTCGTATCTATATTATTACTAAGAGACTTATCCCCTTTAGTAATTAACGAATTCTACTTATCCACGTCCTAAGTAGTTAAACCACCTACTAAGCTCGAGCTTACGAGCACCCGATTAATTAGAGCCGTTACGTTTAGAGATGATTTAGTATTAGGTCTACGTTAATTAATCAAATCTACCGCGTTTAGAAATGATTTAGTATCGGACCTATACCGGCTAATTAAATTAACCGCATTTAAAGATAATTTAATAGCCTATTATTTAATTAGAGGCGTTAT